GGGGGAAATGTAAAACCAACAAAAAAATAGAAGTAATTCTACTGTACACAAATAACTGTAGACATGTAAAAATATATTTTCCCAGATTCAGAAATTTCAAGGACCTAAACAGAGTAGTGAGTAAAAGAATCTGTAGGTAAATTACCAATTTATTTAAGAATATTTTTAACATGCTATTTAACAGTGTATTTAACAGATGCAGGTGATTTATCTGAACTACCATACGTTCTGTTGAAATTTACCTCATTTTTTCAGAATGGTTTTGCAGTTGCTTAATTATTAATTGCATCAAAACATTTCTCTGTAAAACACTGAGCTAGAAATTGAGGCAAAAGCAGTTGTTAGAATTTCTTGTTGAATTTTTTTACAAGACCTGAGAACACTTCAGCTTTTCATTATAAATCTCCAAAAATTCACAGGGAAAAAAATAGCATCCCAAGAGATGAAAGGCAGAATTACCATGAGTGGCAAGCTCACATGATCATTAAACTCAAGAAACAGCTACCTAAGAGTCTTTCTGCATATACCTTCAAACTTTATCTGTGTGTGCATGTGTACATATGTTTTCTTTGTCCCTCCTTCTTTCATTCCAATATTTCTTTTTAAAGTGTTTGCTTTAAAGTTCTATTCCCACCCTTTCTGAAAAGTATGTGTGCTGAGTAAAAATCTTTCAAGACAAGCCCCAGAACAAGATGGTCACACCTCCTTAAACTGAATATTAGCATTAGAAGTTATCTGAATTTCTAGATATCATTCTGCTGTTTTCATGCTAATGGTGTTTTTACATGAATAGGGAAGTGCTGTATCTGTTCTGTGAAAGAAAATATATTTCCTAAATGTGCCTAATATTAGAGGACAGTTTGGTTTTTTTTTTGAAATAAATCTTTCATGACTTTTTGAAGGTGTCTGTGTAGGTGTTGGCTTACACTGGATTTGTGTATGAGGAAACCAAATGATTCAATGTGAAAAAAAACCTGTGTGCCAGACTGAATGGTGGTAAATTTTGATTTCACAATGATTTAGCCAGGCAGATCTGGTGGGGACATTATACCAAGCTAACAGGATGGGAGGAGGGGGTAATAAAAATTTATTTATTTTAGAACACATAGATGTTCTCAATATGAAACAAAAGCAATGCTATTTTAAATAAAGTATAACCTGAGAACTGTTCCAATTTTAAGATTATGAGAACCTAAAAAAAAAAAAAAAAAGGTGGTGGAGGGGAGGAGTTTGTACCAGTTAAGTCAAAGGGTATCAGTTTGTACCCTTCTGCTAAAGGGTCAGCAAAAGAGCAGAAGTTGTAGGAAAAAATATCATGCATTGTTCAAAACAGTATCTATACTTTGCTATATAAAGTTAGGAATACGAACACCCAGATGCTTTTTCTGAAATTATTTTGTAAGTTTCCTTTAAGAATTAGGACTAGAGATCAGCACTTAAGTGATTGTACCCAATGTAAATAAATGTATATTTTTATTGTCTTAGTCTGTTTGGTCAGTGGTTGCTTGATTTTATGGACATTATTTGCATGATGGCATCTGGATTACTCTATGAATATTGTAGTCTCTCTATGTATACCTGTAATTACAGAGATTTTGATGATTTTTGGGTGTGGAGAGAATTTACATTTGTTACTCAGCAGAGTCTTGTTCTGATTAGGGAGTGTCAATTCAAAGGAAATTTGCTTCTGATTCAGCTGCTAGGATGTTATTTAAAAACAGCGTTGGTGTGCCTATAAAAGGAATTTCTCTGACATTGGATAGGGGAACCAATTTAGTTTGGATGTTTAAAACCTGTAGTAAGCTCTATTTTTAGACATGGATCTTACCATTTTTGTGTCAGTCATTTGTAAAGCACCCTAGAGCAGCTGGTTACAGGGACAGTATGATCTTAAACTAGCCTAGCTGACTGCACGGAGATGTCCCTCCATGCCAGCAGCACATGATACCTGAATACTCTATTATCTATCCAAGGAGCATGCTTAGCTGTACAGTCTCAAGCATAGGTTACTCTGCAGGTTGGCTTTTTGCATGAGGTTCCCCTCTAGTTTTGAGGGGAACTCCTGGATGTTTATGTAAATACTCTAGGATAGACTTTAGAATGGCAAGTGATGCATGAAGGGAAGAAAGCAACAACAGAATGTTAATTTTTTCCCTCCCCAAGGCTGTAATGAGTTATGTATATCATCTTAACAAATCACTATTTAACAGTCCTCGCAACAATGAGTTTATTTGTCAGTGAACACCTATGCCATGCTGCTGGAAAAATCTTAGAAGTAGGTATCAGGAAGTAGCTTTTTAACCCAATTTTGTAAAGCTTCAGCTAAATAAGAAATAAACAAGTGTAACCATTTTCAGAGAGGTATTCTGGAAGTATGATGCTTTTCATTTTCAGTCTTCTGCTTTCAGTTTGTGAAAGGTTATTTTTTCAGTCTCTCAGTAAAAGACAAAAGAAGGCAGTGAATAAAAACAATAAACCTAATGTTCATTTTTTTAAAAAGTACATAATATTGTCTAAGGAATAAATTTTATACATGAATTTACCATACCATTGAAATATTTTGAAAGAAGTAAGACATTACCAGTACTCATTTATTATTTTGTACCTCTTCAGAAGGAAAAATTAATTTTTGCACAGAAAATTAAGTATCTGTTTATTAATTTAAGCTGCCAAATCAGCCGAATCTTCAATGGATTTTGTTGTTCTGAGGGAGCTGAAATCCAGTTAGCAAGGTTGATTTGTTCTTATTCATTTTGAAGATATATTTTTTCTCCTTGGTACATAATCAGGACCTTTAATCAAAATTTTAGGATATATAATTTATTATAAGCAACGCAAAGTATTGGGCACTGCTATAAATGTATTCCTATATCTAATGTGATTTTTAAGTAATATTCTTCCTTGCATTTGTTTCCTGTTAACTGTAGGTATGTTTCCTTTGAATTTTTCAGCATTTTCTTTCAACTTAGCCATTTCACATAGTCATTTCCTTGACAGAACATTTTAGGTATATATAAGTGACAATTCCATGTACAGGACAGTTACATTTGTAACTTGGGAAATATTATGTTGCAAATCCTCATAGTGGGTATTAATGAGTACTGGTGATATTAATTGAGACAGAAGTTGGAACCAGAGGTAATAATGTCACCTCAAGTAGGGCTTTTGCTCCCCAAAGCCTTTTTACTTCAGCTGAATTATTTGGACTAATAAAATAGCACTTTCCATAAAAATAGCCTGTTTGTGCTCCTAAACTATTACAAGCACAGTGACAGAGCTGCAGCAACAAAATTAACAGAGTTCTCTGTTAAACAGGTACTGCTCTCCACTGTGCTGTCGTGCCTTTTTCACAAGAAGCTAGGTCTGCCTTCCATGCTGCCTGTACCAGTGAAGGCAGCAGAGTACATGCGACAGTCTAGAAAAACATTACACATGCAGCAAAATGCATTACCTTTCTGAGTCAACATTGTCAGGGATTACAGTTTCTTCAGTGACTTTTTAACTGTTGAAATTTAAGTCTTTTCTGAACGTAGGAAAGGCTGAAGTTTGTTAGGTCCTCATAGGACAGCAAAAAGGTCATCCTTTATGCAAATAGAGTCTTCCTGTCAAATGTCAAGTCTTCCTGGAAAACATGGTGCCACAAGAGCTTTTCCATGTCACTAAATTTTTTTTATTTATTTTTATTTTACAGAACTAGGACTAAACAATGTAATTTTTACTGGCCCTTTCCTTAGAGGTATGTGAACATTTAGCCGTTATTTTCTAAATTCTGGAAACATCAGCCTGAGATAGAAGGCTTGCACATCTACAAGACAACATGTCACTAAAGGATAACATTCCATTACTGTAGCTTATTACAATATTACTTTTTTACCTGATAAGAAAAGGAGCGACAACAACAAAAATGGTAGAAAAAAAGAACAAGAAAAAGTGTAGAAACAGCAGCAAATCTCTTTTAGCATTACAATTTGTGCTATCTTTGTTGTGTGCTATTTTTATCCTTCTTAATCCCTTCCTTTCCCCAGGTCTCTAAAGCAAGGCTCTGTGGCTTTGAAATTGTAAGAAACCTGGAAATATAATTTCATTTCAGTCTTTGTATTTGCAAATCTCTTTACATGACTGAATGTTTCTTTGAAAGTATTTGAAGTGCTTAACATCTTAACACAGAGACATTTTACAGTAAGCCAAGGTATTAGGAATATACAACTTTGGATTGTTACTCTGGAATTTAGTTGCATCTACTTGAATTTGGCTGGGATGTTACCAGTGGATATTCTTGTGAGAATGCAAGGGGATGTTTTTAAACAGAATGAACAAAACTTTGATTTTGATTTTGATTTTTTTTTATAACCAGGCTAATTAGATCTCCAGAAGGTGTGTTGCTGCTGCTGCTGTTTATTTTCAAACATTTCACTTTCCTAACTAGGAGAACAATCCATGTCCCCTTGGAGGTCTTTGGGAGTACTGACCAGATTTCACCTTTCTTGGCTTGAGTTCAGTCAAGTTTAAGTGACCTAGTTATATCCAAATACAAAGAATCATTCATTTTGCCTGCCTATCATTGAACATAAACTTGTGTTATTTACAGATTTATCCTTATGTCAGAGGAGATACAATCACTTTACTGATTTATTTCTCTTTATTTCTCATTGAATGATTATTTCAGTGCAAATGTATGGTATAACCACCAGTGCTTACCTAACAGAGAAATCTGTGAAGGTAAAATACCAGATTTTAAATCTAAGAGGGAAAGTAAAAATAATAAAAATCACAATAAAGTCCACTCAGAAGGGGTTTTTCAGTTTATCAATCTCAAAATTGTGAAGGAATTCATATCCCACTAAACTTGCACAGAATTTGGAGACCAATCTCTCTAGTTCATGTAAACATCTCTGGTCTTAATTGCCAAGCATCTATTTAATTTTAGAGCTATTTGATATCTTAATTTTTATCCTGCTTCTAATATTCTTCCACATCTCTTTGTATCTGGGAAAGGAGCAGAAACCCATGATTTTGACATGCCAGTACAGACAATGGAAAAGCTGGACGACAAGAATCCTGCGCTTTCCGAGTGCTCCGTAGAGCACACGTACCTGTTAGCATGCCGGTTGCCAAGAGCACCACCTCGTGCTCAGAACGCAAAAAGCACTTACTGTGACGATCAACACCGGTAAGGTACAGCGGAAGAGTTTGGCATTATTCACGTGAAGATTCTGTCTCGGCTATTTCCTGTAATGCTAATATGCAACGAAGTTACTCGGCTCATGATGAAAAAATGATTTTGCATCTTGCATGCAAGTCAATAAATATAGCCAAGTATTTTAAAGGACCAATTTGTGTCACACATCATTTACATGTATTTTGCACAGCAAGGTAAGACATTAATATACCAGTGCTTATTTTCTGCCAAAATTAGTGTTTGTGAATAGAGCACTATTCCTTGTCTCATTGAAGAGATAACTAGGAAAGAAATCAAATCATGACCAGTTCAGAAAAAGGCCTGGGGAATTTTTCAAAGTACATATCTCAGTTTCTCTTTTCTTCACCGTGCCCAAATACTACACTAAATGGATGCTAAGGTCATGGAGCAGATTCTCCTGGAGACTCTGCTAAGGCAGAGGGAAATAAAGAACAAAGACATCTTCCAATAGAGTAATACCATTTCTGATTGCATATGAGCAGAATACAGAAATGGATATTTTTATGGTCCGGGTATGTTATACAGCCAGGGGCCATTATATTAAGTTTATAAATTATGTTAAGCTCTTACTTGTCATTCTAACATATTTGAACAAAGAAGGTTGCATGATGTTGGTGAGAAGTTTAGGCAAGAAACTTCAATCCAGGAGATCTTGGTGGTGTTCTCAGCTTCTTCATTGTACAAATTGCTCTGTTTCTCTGTGAACCAATTTTCCTGTTTCTAAGTTGGGACAATTTGCAAGAACTTAGAAGAATCTGTTCACATTGTGAAATTCGGTCTGAAAAGACTGACAAAGGTTTACAGGGTGCTAGTGCTTTTCTGGTTTATGTTGTACTATTGCCTGATAGAGAATTTCTTCATCTTTCAATTTGAGAATCTCTGCAAGTGATGCCTTAAAAATTATAGGAATGATGTATTTTTCTCTTATTACTGTGCTATTTCCTCCTTTCCATACACAGGACCCAAAAACTTAAGTGATGGTATCTTTCCATCAGCACAATTATTTTGATTTGAATGAAATTTTAGATTCAGCTGGAAACACAATCTGCTTCTGCAAGCTTCCCACAGATTCAGCTACACCTCCTTTGATTAAGCTACAGCACCTTTTCCTCTTAAAGTTTTTCATCTTCCAAACACAGGAAAAAATATTCTTTCTTGACTATTACAGGTGACCATGGAGTAGTTGTATTTGACTGGATAAAGGAAATACACATTTGAAATCATATACATTTAATATTTACTGCTTTCTTTCTCCAACATATGTGCACTGTTTGCTTTCTACTGACTTTAAACTCATTACCAGCTTGTGTGTTGTTTATTCCTACTTCTTTAGTAATTTATATAATATCTGTGTAGTCATTATACTAGTATCTCAGCTATTGATACTTAATGTGTTATTTCTCTTCAGAAAAATTAGTGCTTGATGTTTACAATCAAAGAGATCACGAACTGTATCAGAATCCAAAATTTCCAGTGATTGTATTTCCACACGCCAGTTTTTTGCCACATGGAATGTTTTTCCATCCATACAACCATTTCCTCTGTTTATGGAAATGAGGTATGTATATGAAGGTAGTGATATTGAATTTGAGGTAACTTAATTTTTTCCTATTTTTTTTTTAACCTTATTTATTTTTATTTTTTAGAAGTAAATGGTCCTAATCTGTTGTTAGAACTGCTTTGGCAAAGTTCTTGCTGATTTCAGTGGATTCAAGCTCAAAATTATTAGTTTCATGCATTTTTCAGTTACTGGCCTCACTTTTTGCAGGGTTTGTACCATCTCTCTCAATGGTCTCATTTAAATTTTGAGACTTTCTGAAGTAATAGTTATCCAGCATCAGTACTACTGGCAGAAATTGATCTTTAGTGTTTTCAAAAACACCCAATGAGAAGTTAGACAGCATCACTGAGGATGGTGTATTATTAGTAGCAGTAGTACCTAAGAAAAGATCTTATTTTGCCACCACTTCTGTCATATCTATCATATGAACCTAGGACACCCACTGACAAAATCAGTTTGACAGTTATTGTAAGAGATGTCAGTGTGATGACATCACAGTGTCATCCTAATGAACAGAGTGATGCACTTCACTCATAAGAGAGAAATAACAGTATATATATTGACAGTAATATAACAAAGTTTGATAGTAAATGAGACAGTAATTTAACAATATTTGATGGCAGGGTACACTTAATTATTTACTGCAGAAAGGATGGGGTCAGACAAAACTGTCAGAGAGACCTTCTCATTGAGTCACAATGTTCAGAAACGACCCCCTTACTTTCTAAACATCTCAGAGTGGAGTCTAGGTGCAGCTGGATCCAAACTTTGTCAATGACTTATGTCTAAAGGATTATGTATGTGAAATCAGTCCTTTATATCACTTAGCTAAGATTTCTAAGTTTGGCATGATATTAATTACTTACTGAGTATCAGATGCAGTAAGCAATCTCTCAACTTCAAGAAGGAATTTTCAAAGGTGTCCCTACTCAAGGGGAGATCCACTGCCTCCCACTGGGCAGGAGAGCTCAATAGGCCCTGTGCCCCCCACTATTTATGGAGCAATATAATTTGCTCATTGTCACATTTGCATACCAACCACAGGAGTTAAGTTTTTTCCCAAGCTTGGCTTAAGTCAGACCAAGACTATCACTAGGGGAAAGCATGTTGCACACATTAGCCCTTGGCTTTTGTGCTGTTCTCTCTCCCAATCTACTTGGAGTTTGGTGCAGCCCTCAGGACACAGACCATTGCCACCACCACTAGTGGTTATCACTTGAGCTGATTTGCAGGAAATAAAGGTCAGGTTTGGTGAGGAGAGGGGCACAAACCACCACAGTCAGTCAGTCATGAAAGAATTGAACTTAGCTAGAGGTATTAAAGATAACAGGAAGGGATTCTACAGGTACATAGCAAATAAAAAACAGACTAGGGAGAATGTAGGCCCCCTCAGGAAGCTCTCAGGAGAACTGGCTACACAGGATTTGGAGAAGGCTGAGGTTCAGAATGACTTCCTTGCCTCGGTCGTCACTGGCAAATGCTCTGACAAAACCACCCAAGTCTTGGAAGGCAGACACAGGGACTGTGAGAATGAAGACCTTGCGCCCACTGTAGGAGAGGATCTGGTTTGAGACCATCTTAAAAATCTGAATGTGCACAAGTCCATGGGTCCTGATGAAATCCATCCGCGGGTCCTGAAGGAGCTGGCAAATGAAGTTGCGAAGCCGCTGGCCATCATATTTGAGAAATCATGGCAGTCAGGTGAAGTTCCCGATGACTGGAAAAAGGGAAATATAACCCCCATTTTCAAGAAGGGGAAAATGGATGACCCGGGGAATTACAGACCAGTCAGTCTCACCTCTGTGCCTGGCAAAATCTTGGAGCAGATTCTCCTGGAAGGCATGCTAAGGCACATGAAAAACAACAAGGTGCTTGGTGACAGCCAGCATGGCTTCACTAAGGGGAAATCCTGCCTGACCAATTTGGTGGCCTTCTATGATGGGGTTACAGAACTGATGGACAGGGGTAGAGCAGTTGACATCATCTACCTGGACTTGTGTAAAGCGTTCGACACTGCCCCACACGACACCCTTGTCTCTAAATTGGAGAGACATCAATTTGATGGAAGGACCACTCGGTGGATAAAGAACTGGCTGGATGGCCACACACAAAGAGTTGTGGTCAATGGCTCAATGTCCGGCTGGAGACCAGTAATGAGTGGTGTCCCTCAGGGATCGGTGTTGGGACCGGTCTTGTTTAACATCTTTGTCGCTGACATGGACAGTGGGATTGAGTGCGCCCTCAGCAAGTTTGCCGATGACACCAAGCTGTGTGGTTCGGTTGATACGCTGGAGGGAAGGAATGTCATCCAGAGGGACCTTGACCTGCTTGTGAGGTGGGCTGATGCCAACCTTATGAGGTTTAACCATGACAAGTGCAAGGTCCTACACCTGGGTAGGAGCAATCCCAGGCACAGCTACAGGTTGGGCAGAGAAGAGATTCAGAGCAGCCCTGCAGAGAAGGACTTGGGGGTGTTGGTCAATGAGAAAATGAACATGGGCCGGCAGTGTGCGCTCCCAGCCCAGAAAGCCAACTGTGTCCTGGGCTGCATCAAAAGGAGCGTGACCAGCAGGTCAAAGGAGGTGATCCTGCCCCTCTACTCTGCTCTTGTGAGACCTCACCTGGAGTATTGTGTGCAGTTCTGGTGTCCTCAGCATAAAAAGGACATGGAACTATTGGAACAAGTCCAGAGGAGGCCCACCAGGATGATCAGGGGACTGGAGCACCTCCCATATGAAAATAGGCTGAGAAAGTTGGGGCTGTTCAGCCTGGAGAAGAGAAGGCTGCGGGGAAACCTCATAGCAGCCTTCCAGTGTCTGAAGGGGGCCTATAGGGATACTGGAGAGGGCCTCTTCATTAGAGACTGTAGTGACAGGACAAGGGGTAACGGGTTAAAACTTAAACAGGGGAAATTTTGGTTGGATATAAGAAGGAAATTCTTTCCTGTTAGGGTGGTGAGGCACTGGAATAGGTTGCCCAGGGAGGTTGTGAATGCTTCATCCCTGGCAGTGTTCAAGACCAGGTTGGACGAAGCCTTGGGTGATAAGATTTAGCATAAGGTGTCCCTGCCCACAGCAGGGGGGTTGGAACTAGATGATCTTAAGGTCCTTTCCAACCCTAACGATTCTATGATTCTATGATTCTGTGATTCTGAGAAGCTGCACAATAATAATACAATTTCCAATACATGGTCACTCTACAGTTTCCACCTGTCTTGTATATCTACTTTTCACATCCTTGTTTACTAAACATGTATTTCTCTTCCTCAAGAGTTCACTGGATTCACAAACATGGGCCTGTGTGAAGTAATTCTTCAAGTGTGTCCACTGTTAAGCCAATCTATTTTACCTTTCTCTTTAGCAGTATCAGTTAACTGTATTCCTAATTTTTATAGATAGGTGGAGGTAAGAAGAAGCATGGAGGGGAGACAGGGCATTCATTCCCGTGCTGCTTTTAAATGTAATCATTGATCCATGTGCAAATCAACAGTATAAAAACTTTGTGTTCTGTCAACGCTACGTCTCTACCATGTTCTGTCAAGTTTACACATGTACCGCAAACTAACCTTCTTTATAATAGTCTAAAGATTGGTTTGGTTTTTGGTGGGTTTTTTTTTTTTAGAAATTCTGTCATTTTAAAGAAACAAATTCCCACATCTGTTGTCTTCCCCAAACCACAATTCTGAAGAAATGGTAGAAATTGCTTTCTGTGTTTCAGATGTCACTGTATAGAAATTTCTTACGTTCTTCACTGCCTTTACTGACCTGTTTAAAGGCCAGGCAATTTCGGCTCAAGTATGTGCCACCTTGCATGAATGTGTGCTCTGAGACATATCTTTCAGAGGCCACAAGGCAGATTGCTGTGCATTTTAGCAAAGAAATAGCAACTTCTGCTGTTTTTTATGAGTACTCCATAAAAGAGACAAATTCTGGAAACCGTATTCTGTGTATATGTGCATGTATGTATCACATCTATATATATGCATATAGACAGTAAGTCTGTAAGTAATTTTAGTGTGTTTCTTAGCTGTTTCACTCACTGAACAACTCAATACCTTTTGCCAGTAATTATGTTAATAGCTGCAGAATATATATGGACAAGCCTACAGACAACTCTGTTCACTAGAAGGAAGGCAAGTAATTGCTATTTGTCCTTTTCAGCAGGCAAAGAGCATACAAGTAAAGAATCTAAGTGTCTCCCACCAGTTCGTAGCATTATGAGGACCTGCTTTCAAATAGCATTTTATCTGTGCAAGTCACCTGGTATCCACATCTGGTATTTGCCAGTTTGCTTTTGCTTCTGAGACTTTTTCTTTAGAATTTATAAAAACAGTGTGAAAGACACATGCTTTTTACTTAGGGAATTATACCACACATTAAGAAAATTATACTTCTTGTTTTAGGCCAGTTGGAGCAGCTCTGGTAGTCAGTGACTTCCCACTTCAACATTCTTTGCGTCATTGCCCGGCAACGTCATGAAGCAGGTCCTTCTGGAAACTATTCTAAGGCACATGAACAATAACAGGGTGACTGTTGACAGCTAGCATGGATTCACTAAAGGCAAATTGTACCCAACAAATTAGGTGGCCTTCTACGATGGGGCTATGACAATTCAAGCCTGAATTGTTATGGAGTATATGTCTCCGATTCCTAAACTTTGGCTGATTAAAACTAATAATCTTTAGTTAAATTTTATACAGTCCTATTTAAAAATTGTTCATTATAAAAGCTAAAATTAGATTAATTCTTAAAGACAAAAACCACTATTATTATTCTTATGTTACATAAATGTGTAAGGTGATTTGGCATGGCTTGCTTAACAAGTTTTATGCTACACCAAAAATTATTTAAATATAAAAATTCAGAGCCAGACCTGACTCTTGCTGCAGTGCACAGAGCAGAGACTGAAGTGACTTTGCAAGGAACGTGACAGGCCCAAAAAGGGCCTATTTTTTTCATTTCTTGCCCATGTGTTGGTCAGAAAAGCAAGCTCAAATTGAAATAAAATTGAAAATAAAAACAGCCAGAAGACTTTTCTGCTATCCCATTTCCAGCTGTAGTAGTGGCATTGGATTGGTGTTTTCAGGTAAGGTGGTTTTCTCCTACTTTATTTTTTTTAATGAATTATGGAATATATTCTGTAATTGTATAACTTTAGACATTATGTTAAAACGTAAATGCTGATCATGCCATGGATTCTACTTCTAATGGTGTGATTTCTATAACTAATATGAATTTATTAATCAATTAGGAATTTTACCCAGAAATCTTGTTTATGAACATTTTAAACTGAAGCTATAGAGCAGATTGTGTTGCTTTGTGGTCTTTCAAATAGCAAAGATGAGGAATAATTCAAAATGAAGGTCATGATTTGGCCACAGAACCACAATGCTAAAAATTACCAAGCGAACTTTAACTCTTTGTTTTCCTTAGGTAAAACTAGATTTAGAAAACTGACATGGAAAAGACAGTAGTGATTCTAGGGAGCTTCCTAATCACAAGAGTTCTTGACAGTAAAACTGCAGACCCCACCATGCCTGACAAGGTGCCTTTCGACTGGAGCTTTGCATCCAAGCAATGGTTCTTGCATGACTTTGGTACTATCAGTGGAAAAAATGGGACCTGAAGTTAGAGGAGTGCAGTTATTTGATGTAACACTAAAATAATAGAGCAAAGAACAGCATCAAATTCGTGGATCTGAGCACAACTCCTGCCTTCAGATTCAGATCATTACTTCAATATACAGGTAAGAGACACTGTCCTGGGTTCACCAGTAGCAGTCATTTTTCTCCTTCTTAGTAGCTGGTGCAGTGCTGTGTTTTTGACTTTCAGCCTGGGAACAGCACTGATAACACTGATGTTTTCAGTTGCTGCTCAGTAATGTTTACTCTGACAAAAGACTTTGTGAGTCTCATGCTCTGCCAGGGAGGAGGGGAAGCCAGGAGAAAACTAACCAAAGGGGTTAACCACAGCACGTCATACCCAGTATATAAACTGTGGGCAGTTATCTGGAAGGGTTAGATTGCTGCTCGGGTCGGGCTGGGTACCGGTTGGCGGGTGGTGAGCAGTTGTATTCTCTTCCCTTGTTATTTCCCTTATCATTATTATTATTGGTGGTAGCAGTAGTGGTTTGTGTTATACCTTAGTTACTGGGCTGTTCTAATCTCAACCTGTGGGAGTTAAATTCTTTCGATTCTCCTCCCCATCCCTCTGGGAGCGGGGGGAGGAAGGGCGTGCAGGAGTGAGCGAGTGGCTGCATGGTTCTGAGTTACCAGCTGGGCTTAAACCACGGCAGTTCTTTGTGGTGCCCAACGTGGGGACCCAAGGGTTGAGATAGCAACAGATCTGACCAGAGTGTGTCTAATCGTATTTGTGATAAGCATTTTTTTGTTTTGGATTAAAAGTCACTCGTTACAATGCTGATTTATGGCTCTCAAAGTTGTTGCTCTTGATCTCACAGTTTCAGCATGTTGTACCTTACTTACAGCTGGTATTTGCTGTGTTAGCGTTTATCGGCTGGGGGGTCCTTGGGCTAAGGTTCTTGTTTTGCTGTACTTTATGGTAATGACTTGTAATACAATAGACTCATTAATCATGAAACTGATCTGGCTTGCGTTCCCAGTGTGGTCACCACCTCTATACTTTGAGAGGTATATAATGGAAGTGTTTAGCAATTACACGTATTTTTTTTCCTTCTCGGGTGGTCAACCTATGAAGGAGACATTCCTTCACACCCTCTGCTCCCCCTCCAGACTATTTACAGCATCATTTGAGAGTTCTGAAGGTTTTGAATGGTGTTTGGATACCCTTGAGACCTGCCTGCTGATTGTGATGAGCATCATCATGTTGGCACACATAAAAAGTGTGTTGTAGCCATGACCATTTCATCTTGTCTCCAAAATTAAGCAGAGTCAGGTTTGGGTCTTGTCTACGGTTAGACGACAATATAGGAGGACCAAGAGATTTTCCCCAAGTCTGGACAGCCATGAGTGGCAGGGTGCATGGGATAGTATGGGCAAGTATCTAGGCCAGTGGGCCCCTCCAGTACTTTGGAATTTCACCACTGAACAAGTGCAAAATCCAGAAAAATTAGTAAAACACTTAAATGAGGTGTGTTGTTGTCCTGGGTTCAGCAGTAGCAGTCATGTTTCTCCTTCATGGTAGCTGGTACAGTGCTGTGTTTTGACTTCCAGCCTGGGAACAGTGTTGGTGAAACCGATGTTTTTGGTTGTTGCTAAGTGATGTTTACCCTGACCAAGGACTCTGTGAGGCTCATGCTCTGCCAGGGAGGAGGGGAAGCCGTGAGGAAGCAGAGACAGGGTGCCTGACCCAGGCTAGCCAAGGAGGTATTCTGTACCACAGCACGTCATGCCCAGGGAGGGGGGGTAACTGGGAGTTACCCGGAAGGACACGGGCTTCCGGGTGGGACTCGTTTCTTGGCCGGTGGTATCGTATTCTCTTCCCTTGTTGTTTTCTCTTATCATTGTTGTAGTTGGTAGTAGTGGTGGTGATTTGTGTTGTACATTGGTTGCTGGACTGTTCTTGTCTCAACCCACAGGAGTTGCACTCTTTCGATCCTCCTCCCCGTTCCTCCGGGAGCGGGGAAGGGGAGGGCCCCGGTGGGGTGGGGGGCTCAATTGTTGTCAGCTCGGCACCACTCACTGGGAGTGAGTGAACAAGTTGCCTGACTGGGTTTAAACCACGACAGTTGTCATCCTGGTCATACCAGAGACGGACAAATCACGGCAACATGCTGGGGCTTGGCCTATGCTTACAGAGTCCTGTTCAACAATATCCAGCACCTTCAAAGGGAAAAAATTTCTCTGGTTCTGATGGCAGAGCAACAGACAATGCAGCTACTCCAACTCCAAATACAGCAGCTATTCAAACTCTGACTACAACAGACAATGCAGCTAATCCAATTCCAAGCACAGCAACCACACCAACCCCAGCAACAAGTACAGCAGCTACCCAAACCCCGACAGCAATAGACAGTGCAACTGCTGGTGCTACTCAAACCCAAAGCACAGCAGCTGCACCAACCCTGACAGCAAATGCTGCAGCCACTCCAGCCACAGTGATAATCACTGCAGCTAAATCAGAGGAGCAATTTGTGCCAATATTAGTTGCCCCGGTACACCAGGGGAAAAGCAAACAAGAGGCACAAAGAGCAACCCATACAGTGAAGAAAGATGAAGAACCAATGCACTTACTACATGGAACAGCATCCAATCAAAAGTTATTATAATGTGAATTGGAGGAAGAGGAAGAAGAAGAGGTAACTTCTCGACCCCAGACCTCAACCGAGCTACACAATATGCGAAAAGATTTTACCCATCAGCCAGGGGAGCACATCTTCACCTGGTTGCTCCAATGTTGGGACAATGGGGCTGATGGTCATGAACTAGAAGGTAGAGAAGCTGAGCAGCTGGGATCACTTGCTACAGAAGGGGGAATTGACAAAGCAATTGCAAGAGAAACAGTCCCTCAGCCTTTGGAGGCAGCTCTTGGCAGCTGTGAAAGAAAGGTTTCCGTACAAGGACAATGTTGAGTCATTCAGCCAACTGGACCATGCTAGAGAAAGGCATCTAGTCTCTGAGGGAATCAGCTATTGCAGAGATGATCTATTGCAGGCCAGATGCCGGGAATACACCTATAGATCAAGGTGAAGTCAAATGTACATGACCCATGTGGCAGAAATTTACACGGAATGCACCGTCATCATAGGCCCACTCACTGACAGCAATAACCTGGAATGACATAGTACCACCAACAATGGATGAAATGATTCGTCAGCTCTGAGAGACTCACCACCTCCATCATCTCAGCTGTGGAAAAACTGTCCCAGGATCTCAAACAATTGAGGGACAATCTACCTGATTTATCCAGCTCCTCACGTGTACCAACACACGTCTCAGCTATTAACAAAAGGCGCCCTACTGTTCGAGAGAGAAGATACAGAAGGTATACGCCATGGGCCACCCTATGGTTTTACCTGTGGGATCACGGAGAAGACATGAGAAAGTGGGATGGAGAACCTACCTCAGCTATGCAGGAACGAGTGTGTGAATTGAAGATGAGAACAAAGGTCAAGGCTGATCATCCCATGAAAGCTGCGGCTTCAGTCTCTGGTGAGCAGGTTCCCAGATGGAGTGGAAGAGATGATTTTACTTCAGCTCCCGTGATAAAGAAGACTAATCCCTGTGTGCAAGATGTAAGTGACTGATGTTGTGATGATTATTAAAGGGGCTCTGCCTCCAGCCAGGTGGAGATAGGAGACAATCAGATTTACTGGACTGTGTGGATCAGATGGCCTGGCACATCAGTCCCACAGAAGTATAAGGCTCTCGTAGATACCGGTGCACAGTGTACCCTGATGCCATCAAGCTGTCAAGGAGTGGATCCCATTTATATTACTGGAGTGACAGGAGGATCCCAAGAAGTAACTGTACTAAAGGCTGAAATCAGCCTGACTGGGAGGAAGTGGCAAAAGCACCCCATTGTGACTGGTCCAGAGGCTCCATGCATCCTTGGCATAGACTACCTCAAGAGAGGGTACTTCAAAGACCCAAAACGGTACTGATGGGCTTTTGGTATTGCTGCTTTGGAGACTGAGGAAATTGAGCAGCTGTCCACCTTGCCTGGTCTCTCAGAGGATCCTTCTGCTGTGGGGTTGCTGAAGGTTGAAGAACAAGTGCCAATTGCGACCACAACAGTGCACCGGTGGCTATATTGCACCAACCGAGACTCCCTGATTCCCATCCATAGGCTGCTCGTAGACTGGAGAGCCAAGGAGTGATCAGTAGGACCCGCTCGCCCTTTAATAGCCCCATATGGCCAGTGTGAAAGTCTAACAGAGAGTGGAGACTAACAGTAGACTATCGTGGCCTGAGTGAATCATAGAATCATAGAATAGTTAAGGTTGGAAAGGACCAACACCCCTCTAGTTCCAACCCCCCTGCCATGGGCAGGGACACCTCACACTAAACCATGTCACCCAAGGCTCTGTCCAACCTGGCCCTGAACACCGCCAGGGATGGAGCATTCACAGCTTCCCTGGGCAACCCATTCCAGTGCCTCACCACCCTTACAGTAAAGAACTTCCTCCTTATATCCAATCTAAACTTCCCCTGTTTAAGTTTTAACCCATTACCCCTTGTCCTATCATTACAGTCCCTAATGAAGAGTCCATCCACAGCATCCCTATAGCCCCCCCTGGAAGGCTGCTATGAGGTCTCCACACAGCCTTCTCTTCTCCAGGCTGAATGAAGTCACACCACCATTGAGTGCTGCTGTACCAGACATGCTAGAACTTCAATATGAACTGGAGTCAAAGGCAGCCAAGTGGTATGCCACAACTGATATTGCCAATGCTTTTTATCAATTCCTTTGGCAGCAGAGTGCAGGCCACAGTTCACTTTTACTTGGAGGGGCATCCAGCACACTTGGAACTGACTGCCCCAGGGATGGAAACAGAGCCCTGCCATCTGCCATGGACTGATCCAGACTGCACTGGAACAGGGGCAAGCTCCAGAACACCTGCAATACATTGATGACATTATTTTGTGGGGTGATACAGTGGAAGAAGTTTTTGAGAAAGGGAGGAAAATAATCCAAATCCTGCTGAAAGCTGATTTTGCCATAAAATGGAGTAAGGTCAAGGGACCTGCACAGGAGATTCAATTTTTGGTTAGTTACTGGACTGTTCTTATCTCAACCCATTGGAGTTACATTCTTTTGATTCTCCTCTCCATCCCTCCAGGAGTGGGGGGAGGAAGGGCATGGGGGAGTGAGCGAGTGGCTGCGTGGTTCTGAGTTACCAGCTGGGCTTAAACCACAACAGAGACTTAGCATTTAGTCATTTTTTTAAGCATATAGTTTGAATGCAATACATTAAATGGCCATTAGCTCATTTGTATGACTTTGCACAGCTCAATCTCAGCAAATTTAAACTTTAGGTATGTCTATGAAAATATTTCCTCCTTATTTTCAAACATTATCACCTGGGAAATGTGTTCTAAGTGTTTATATTCAGCCAGAAGGGAATTTCACCAGATTCTGTCTCTCTTGTCTTCCAAAAAATAAAAGCACTTCACTTTGGCTGTTACGAAATCTTCTAAGTCTCTTTCAATTTGGCAGTATCCATACATGTGTTACCTTTTTTCAAATACCTTAACACTGACTTAATTTAAAGCCTGAAGATAGCTATAAATGTGAAGCCTATATGTTCACCTGTAACTTTGATTTAATGTCTTAATATTCATTTGAGAAGTGGGTACCATTCCAGTGATTTAATTGGGCTATGCCTTAGTTTTCATCAAAGAAAAATGGCTTTTGATAATTTTCCATTGAAACTATATAAATAATCATAAAGACATTTAAAATAAAGCCAATTTATTTTTTAAAATATTTATTAATTTTCTATTGAATGTGGACATCGTTACTGCTCTGACTCATATACACAGTTTCTTAAATAGTTGGTTCTTAGCAGATCACTGAATAAGTCAAATTAGAAACAAGTCAAAGAGAATGTAAGTACAGAGATCGGTGCTTAAACAGAATCTTAGTCTAACAAAACAATGCATACAGTTTCTTGTAAAGCAAGTTATTGGTAAAAGTTTGCATGGTAAAGTTGTTTAGGAGATTAGCATAATCACTAAGATAAACATCTCTCACCCAGACTTGAGAAGGGTGATTTTGCAGTAACTCATCTTGACTAGTTGAAGTTGGGACTTTATCCTAACTGGCCACTTGTTGAAAATATGTGTATATGATCATGTTATATCAGCTGCACAGGACAGGACTTGGTCTTGTCTATATAGGTAAGAGTTGAGATCTTCAAATGTGCCTTGGAGGTCTAGGAGCATAAATCTGTCTAGTTTCCCAGAGGCAACTGTACTTATAAATGTTGTAATCTTTAGGAAATATGTCTTTGAAGGTCTTTGTCCTCCTGATTATGTCAAATTCTTATCTAGATGCTGTTTTCCTTAGTGAGTTGAACACCGCTAACACAACCATGTACATACACATACTTTTTTAGGTTTAAAAAGGGACTAGACAAATATATGGAGGATATGTCCATTGCTCTTGAATTCTATGGCTCGAAATGCTTTAACAACTGATTGTCAGAAATAAGGACCACTTTCTATTATCCTGTTTCTCACACTCTGTCTCAGAAGAGTCACAACTGGTCATTCTACAGAATGATGAAATAGATGGACCTTTGGTCTGACCAGTGTGGCAGTTCTTACAGTCTTGTGATAGACACTTTCTTTGACTGTGTTCAGTGTTTTGCTGAGGCAACATTAGTTGAGCAATATGAGAAGTTTGGTATAAAAATAACATCCTTTTCAAAGTATTCTTTCCGTTTGTATCTAGCATCCCTCTCTACCGTGGCAGGCATTGCCAGTAGCTAAAAATACACAAGCCCATAAATAACATCAACACCAATCATGTGTGGCAGTGATCCACTTGTACCATACTTGTCCACATCACTTCTGTTATCAGTTTTACCAATTCATAATTGGCAACTGCTTTTCCCAAGTTCTCTGGTAGAAGTACGGCATCACCACATACACTGAAAACTAGTAAAATCAGGCTTTGTTACTTTAAAACTAGAACTATAAATTCTTAGTCAAAAACTCCTCACTAAGCACACTCTGCTATGAATCCATTCCTAACAAAAAGAGGGATTAACTAATTGGTCTTCTGATCATTACTGTGGGAGCATTACAAATGGAGAAAGCCACTTTTTAAATGAGTGGCTCAAAGGTGAATTCAAACAAGTCCCTTTATACCCTTCCACTAGGTTAGTGAGGCAAGAGGAGCAAGCTTTGCAACACAGATATATCTATCAGTGCAAACATTGTGTTTACCATACATTTTTAATGGTTTTAATATCTTTGTTTTGGGAGTGCTAATTTATTTGCACAACATAACTACCTATAAGGTAAATATACAATAGCTGTGATAATCCCAGAAGCATTGTGTATTTGTGCTATGATAACACATATTACAGCAGTGAAGAGCAGCAGCATATGTGAGAAATCAATTCACTACATTTCTCTAATTCCAATGGCTGCCGGACTGCGGCTACAGAATGATACAAAAGATAAAAATGGTTTTCTTCTCATAAAGGAACTCTCAATAAGAAAACTAAGCAGCTATCAGGTGGTGCCTAGGAATTGGTATAGAAACAGAAGGACCTCCTACCTTGTGCACTCATTTTTGCAAAAGAGCCAGGAGCATGTGTATACTTACAGGCATGGTTATCTGAAGAAGTTGTCAACAGCAGCCTACCAATTTCTATAGCAAGAATGCATTGTGTACAAATAAATCAACAGACTAAATCAGACACTAGATTTAACAAGTGCATAAAATGAGTCTATTTTTAATGTATGCTAAAATATTTCTTTTGCTATTTAGGTTGAATAAATTAAACTGGTACTTTCTATGTAACCCTGTGACCTCTCAGCGGTTTTATTTTCAGTACAGTGTTTTGAAAAAGGAAAAAGAAGAAATTTCCCTCAGGATCCTTAAGTTCTTCTACTGTGAAAGATCTGAACTGAGATAGCTGGAGGCAAGAAATAGCACAGTTCCCAATTATGATACTATTCACTGTGCTACTATTTGAAAAGTACTATTTGATTGTCATTCCATAAACATCTCCTGTTTCAATGGCTGAAGATTTCTTTTGCTATCAAGTTCTTGTTTCATTTTGTGAAATGCATGGTCTTGAGTTTGACCTATTATAAAACTACAAAATATGTCCTGTGTTTAAATTGCAACCGATTAACAGAACTTGTAACTCATATTAAATTTATATTTCTGATTTTATTCCATAAATAAGACATACTTTGTTCATCTCTTTGATTTAAACTTAAGGCAAGCCTGTAAAAATAACATATATGCTGAAGACCTCTAGGGTTCAGTCATGGTGGACTGAAAGCATCTGGTGTCTTTTGAACATGGTTTCTGAGCAGTCTCAGGTGGAGGTGAGACATCATCTGTAAATCCTGAGTCAAAAGAACCCAGTCAAGAAATTATGGCCATATATTTAATCACATAATTCATACGAGTAGCAAACACCTTTTGGCTCAGTTGTCACTGCTGAGGTGATGGCTATGAATGAAAAAACCCAAACAATTTCTTTTTCTCTGAAGGGCTTCCTGGGAACTGAACTATTTGATACAGATGAATGGCTTCCTTTGTTTTGTATGCTTTGGAGCTTAACACCATACCATTACTTGTGTTGTGTTATCCTGACATTAAGAATAAGTTTTTATCTTCCTTTCTGCACAACAAATGTATACTTAATCTATGTCCATCTGTCTTGCGGTACATCTATATGCAGGTAAACTACAGATGTGTATTTGAAGAGAGAATTGTTATTCCACTTGATGAAAACATTTATAATTCAGGTCCCAGAAAACTAAGATCAACAAATTATCATAAGGATTCAAAAGTAAGTCTTCTGTAATAGTTCCATGGTTACTGGACATACCTTAAAATTAATTATTTTACTTTTGTTTATTTCATACACAGTGGTATTTGTTTTTCCATAATGTACTTTAATAATCAGCATTTTGAAAAGCAGACTGTACAGATAGGACAGTTCAGTGGTGTGCTTGTTGGAGCTTATTTTCTTTAAGTTAAAACCTTTTGATTACATGCTATTGGAGGATACATATTTTTACATCATACTCTGAAGGATAAATATTACATTAACAGAAAGGATAAACAGTGGGGCAAAACAGGAACTGAAATATAAAATCAGGTAACTTTAATTTAAATGCTTAAGTCATAGTCATTAATGAGGAAAGCACCTGCGTCAGAGTTTCCACTCCAGATTTATTCTCATCACCACTGGCAGAGGTACTGATACGATGTTGTGAGTTAAATTAGAAAGATGGGAGAGGATATCTGTAAACCTAGCCAAGACGCTGTTATAAAACGACTGGCATAGTGTGTCAGTCTTGATAATTCTGAAATTGTAACACATATGGGGGAAAAAAAAAACAGCTTTTGCATCAAAGTTTTCTGAATGAGACTTTTAAACAGATAGAATCATAGAATATTTAGGGCTGGAAAGGACCTTAAGATTATCTAGTTCCAACCCCCCTGCCATGGGCACCTCACACTAGCCCATGTCACCCAACACTGGGCTCGAACACTGCCAGGAATGGAGCATTTTGTGTGTTAATAAACCCCAAAAGTTAACAGAGTTGATGCCATACCAAGAAGCAGAATTTTTCCTCTATGAAAATGTCATGAAGAATGTGCTCGCAAGTATTTTTTTAAACTCATACCTGCCTCTCCATGTTCTTGGCTTTTGCCTACACTACAAAAGGTTTCTAAGTGTAAAGATCTCTTCTTTATAGACTTTCTGACAGCTACAGCATAGGCTCACTTTCTGCTTGTCCCAGGAAAGGCCCTATATATGGTTTGTCACCATATTGTCAGTCTAAAGAAACAGAACTTTGGCAATAAGATGGAGCTGACTAAAGGCAATCGCAGATGAGCAGCTGGGTCATTGAGGCACGGCTGGCTTAAGGAATGAGTACAGAAAGCCGTTGCTTAGCCCAGACATTCATGGGGGCAGCAGAGGAGCTTCCCCAAGACTGTCCTCCCGGAAGAGCTTCATTAGTACCAGTAGGCTCTGGACTCACTGCTTATGCCCTTGGCCCCCATATGCGTAGGCCTTTATTCCTGCTCCCATGCTACTGAAGGGAAAGGCTCATACAAATAGCAGTATTTTCTCCAGCAATGAAAAGTAGGAAGATGGCATAGAAGCTCGTGTTTCCCCTTGCATTCCCTTCTCATCCTTGGTTTCAGCAGGGGGAGTTGGATCCATCCAGTGCTGGTCTTACGGTTTCCAGAGAGTCTTTTAGGAATTTCAAACACAGCTCATTTTTTTCTCCCCTAATGGAACAATCTTCTACTAGAAAATCCCATCTCAATAAAAGGAAGAATATTGTCAACACTGCGACAGAAAATTACTGAAATTTTAAAAAGATCAGAATTTTTGGATGTAGTAATATTAGTGGAAAAAATAACGCACAGATGAAATTTTTAAATATTAACAAAAACATTCTGTAAGTCTGGAAAAACTTCTTTTTTTTTAGCATCAGATTCTTTGAAAAATCCTAAAATGAAAGATTTTTCCTGATTAGAAGTGAAATAAAATGTTTGGCCTTATATCTGCTGGTATGTGACTTGTAGCAAATATCATTTTGAAATCACCCACACCACATAGCAATATCGGCATTGGTTTACTCATAGCTTCTTCTGTAATGTCTGGTGTTCAGGATTTAGTCAAGAAACTGAGGTAGAATTAGTTTTCATGCTCTTTCCACAGATTCCTGAATTGTATAAGATGTGTACTGTACTAGGTGTACAGTTGAATGCAGTTGCATTAGCGTCAAGCTGAATGCAACTGTACCTTGGCTGAGAACATTTCACTTTTGCTTTCTCAGATTGTACAGAAAAAGTAATAAATAAAGCAGCAGAATTATCAAAATTATTGTCTCTAAACTAAATTCTGGTATTTAGCTAGACACACAACCAGTATTAGTGTAAGAACTGCACAAGGAAAATTGTGCTTGAATTGAAAGGAGACATTCCAAACCACCACCAAGGCTTGAAAAGCTTAATGAATGCCTTAAATAACCAGAGCATTTTTTCTTTTTTTTTCTTAAATGTAGACGTATAACAATATACAACTTAAATTTCAGGTTCTAAGAATGATGTATCCAATTAAAATGCTTCCGATCCCTTTCCAACTTAAGCATTTCAGGTCCATTAGAAATCTTTCCTTCCCTTATTTTGTCATGGTTACTGAAGTCAACCAGAAGACAGGCTGGGAAGTCAAATGCGAGGATAATTTGAAATTAGAAATTATAAAACATTTTTGATCCCAATATGTCCACAGCAAAACCCAGTAATTTCAGAGAAACCAGGAATCACAGTCTTTAAAGGTCACTGCATAATAACAGAAGCCAGAAATCCTTCTATTACTTTAAGAAAAGCATCCCTTTTCCCCCAAACTATGACTTCTCATGTATGTGCTTTCACTGTAGTTTATGATTACACTGGATTCTCTATACAGTTATTTTGCAACATTGAGAATCTTTTCCCCCTTGCCACCCCGCTAAGAAGAACCTAGACTGAACTAAATTACAAGGCTGTGTGCAGACACTCTGAAAAAGTCCCTTCCTGCAAAACTGAGAACAGCATTTGCAATATGAAGAAGAAATGGTACTATAATAGAATAAACCAGAGGCTAATTGATAGTAGAAGGCCTTCAAGGCAGTGTAAGACAGGAAGGAGGATAGTAAAAACACTAAGAATGTATTTGGGTTGAGGGAATGAAGTTGTATAGGGCCTTGCAAGTATAGAGATTAGTCCTATAGCAGCAAACTAGTTTTGGGTATGAGCAGAATGGCAGGTGAGAACATAACCTAAGCACAAATCATTTGGGTGTGCTGAAAGGAATCAGGAGGAATGCAGTAAAGATAGAAAGATAGAAAGAGGGCAACTGCATGAGTAAAGGATGGAGATGAGCTTGACTGGATCTATGGTTACCTAGGTGAGAAGGTCAGGGAAGGGATTTAGTGCTGTTCCATGTGATATATAAAAGGTAACAGGAAAGCATAAATCATAATCCCAGTAATATGGGATTATGAAAAGTGAGAAGCACAGCAGAAAGCAGGAAGGGATCAGAGCTGCAGCTTTGCTCACTGAAATTAGTCTTGTTTTCCTTTATCTCTAGTTGTCCTAGAATTCTCTCATGCCTGCAAAGCACTGTAAGATCTTTAGGTGATCATGGATCTAGTCTGGCATTGTCTCCAGTTTCAGGGGACCTCAGCAAGTGCCTACTGGCAGCTGGCAATTCTGTTGTCCCCATACATATGCATTAAATTGAATGGTTATGGTACTAAATATTTGAAATATGAGAGAATGTCTTGGAATCAGTGAGCCTCAAACACCTAGGAAAACTCAAAAGCCTAATAGGCAACAAATAGAAGTGGGTAAAAAATCAAGACCAGAGTTTTTCTATGAACTGCTGCAAGAATGTGAAGAACGCATGTGACACCTCCTGCTGCTGTTTATATTATACTATACTGTTTATATTATACTATGATATATATACTATTTTATATATATATACTATGTTTGCCAAATTATTGGGGGTTAGATTGCTTATCCAGCTTACCCTCCAGTACTGGGCTCCGCACTGATGATTCGTGATCGGACTGAGCTGGAGTCTATGAATGATGACTCAAGTGTGGACCATGCATGACATGCTGGATTTTTGTTCTCTTTCTTATGAATCTTCAATTTATATATTTGGACAATCTCTCACAGTCAGCAGCTTGCTCCTGATCCTTGAGCATTGTATTAAAGACAGGATTCTAAACAACCCTGAATGCCTCTGTCAGTGATGAATGTAATCTGTCACCTAATGGGAGACAGCACTCAGTGCCTCACAAGAATCAGATAGGGGAAAAGTCAGAGAAAAAAAAAAAAACAACTCTTTTTTCCTATCTGTCTGTGAAACCAAACCCTACATCCAGTGCATCCAATACATCTGGGAAAACAAAAATTTGAAAGTATTTTTTAACTGGGTTTTTTTGGGCCTTCTAATTTTACAGATAGAGATGAAGTACCAAGAATATTAAAAAATCAAAAGACCGTTCAGGAAAAAATTACTCCAGGCTACCATATATAATCCAGAGTCTATGTTCTTAAACATAGCTAAGTCTTATAATTTAAAATTAAAATAATTATTATGACAAAAATACAGATACCAAACACAGTTCCAGAACTAAACACCATTTACCTTTAAGGCAGTTTCAATGTAAATTGAAATATCTTTTCAACAACACATTTATATTTTATATTTTGGGCACATACCTGAACAGGATAAATTGGGAGTTATATTTTATGCATCATGTAATCTTTTAAGCAGAACAAAATTTCTTTTGCTGTTGTTCCCATCTGAGAGAAAAAGGCCATAGTCTTCTATCTCTGTGATGAGAACAATTTAGGTTTTGAAGTAATACATTCAATGCATTAAAACACTGATATAGAATTTTAGTAATAATTGAATAACATATTTTAAATGCTTTCTATTTCAGATTTATGTTGATGATGCTGTGACCTTTTCTGGAAAAAAAACCTTACCTGGATCTTAGAAATTGTATTATTAGTGGGCATTATCTTTGCAGCATCTCTGAGACAAAATTATGATGGCATCATAAAGAACAAAAAAACATAAGTTCAGGGGGAACAACAAAGGCTCACCATTACAAACTTCAAATACAGCTATGGCTACTTCTGCCTAGATGTAGGAGCAGTATTTCCAAATTACATACAAGAAGATACCCAAAGAGTATGTTATTTCTTTTCCTGTTTGTGTTTCTTGAACCTCTTACAGATTCTTTATGTTAAAATTAGCTCCTGATTTGGTAATATATTTCTAATCTTCTGAGAATTTTTACATATGTAAAAAAATTTTACATATGTATATTTTCCATTAAAATTTGAGTTATCATTTCCAAATTGGTTTTGCAATATCCAAAAAGTACATGACTACAAAATATTTTATATCGCTGATTTCAGAGAAGGTAACTAATTCTCACCATCCTGTTTTAGTCAGTATTAAACACAAATAAACAGGTAGAACCAAGATATATTCTGAGAGATTTAAGACTCTCTCATAATTATTTTCTTAGTTTCTCTCACCTAGGAGAACTGTAAACCTCATAAATAAATACTGAATGTTAATTAGTTTAGACAATTGTTCAGGGTACACTTATTTATGAAATGGTGTACACTTACACCTTTAGTAGCAATGTCCAAGTGTGCTCTTAGCCGTGTTTATTTACCTCCATGGGTAAAGCCACACAGCAGGGGCTTTAGGGCACTGTGGCATGTGGAACTGCATTCACACTACACTTCAACGCACTGGAGCGTGAAAGCTGCCACACCCCCTTTGCACCTCACTGACACAGACCTTACTAGCATGCACACCATTCCGAGCCTTCTTCCTCCTGCACATCCGCTGATAATCCCCACATGCCACTAATGCCTTTGCCCATTAGTCACAGAAAGTCTCTGACTTCAGAGCTCAGCTTTGAGGCTGTGCATGCTACACATACTCTCTGTGAGACAGCCTGGTAGTAGATTAGTATATTGGACTAGTATGTTGGAGTTCAGCACCCATGACACCTTGCAGCAGAGCATTCCATCGCCTTCTTCAATAAGGTACAAAAAAAGACCTCTTTTCTTCCTTTGACCATTCCATCCACTCATTGGACCTCTTGCTCCTCGGTTCTTGTATTGGAGAAGACATTAAACTGACCCTTGCTGACTTTCTTCATGCCTTTCAAGATGTTACAAACATCTGCCAACTTTCTGTCTCTGGCATGATGCAGAAAGGAGCCAAGATGTATGGAAAATCAGGGGACTAGGCTGGGAATGTAGAATCAGGAGTATTATTTAGAACGGGCACACCCATTCTAAAATAGTTTAGGTTGTTTTTTCTAGGTGACAATAAGAGCAAAAACTCCAATTTTGCATTTGGTCTACTTAGCTTCACTTTTGGCTAAAGAAATACAATACAAGGACATCTGTTGGAGGGATGGTATGGCCCGGAACAAGCAATCCAGGAGGTTCCTCGATTGTGTGGAAGACAACTTCCTTCTACAAGTAATAGAGGAGCTGGCAAGGAGAGGTGCTCGTGCTCACCAACAGGGAAGGGCTCGTTGGAAATGTGATGCTCCAGGGCAGCCTTGGATGCAGCAATCATGAGATGCTCGAATTTGAGATCCTCAGGACAGTGAGAAGAGCGTGCAGCAAGCTCACTGCCCTGGACTTCAAGAGAGCAGAATTTGGCCTCTTCAGGAACCTGCTTAGTAAAGTTCCATGGGATATAGCCCTAGAGGGCAGGGGGGCCACAGACTGTTGGTTGATATTCAAGGATCACCTACTACAAGCTCAGGAATGTTGCATCCCAATTAGAAGGAAGTGCAGCAGGAGGGCCAGGAGACCTCCTTGGATGGATAAGGAGCTGCTGAGGAAAATTCAAAGGAAAAAAGAGGTTTATAATAAGTGGAAGCAAGGACAGGTGGCATGGGAAGAGTACAGGGACGTTGTCCGGGAAGCTAGGGACCAGGTTAGGAAAGCTAAGGCCCAGTTAGAATTAAACTTGGCTAGGGATGTTAATGATAAGAGGAAGGGATTCTAAAGGTACGTAGCGAATAGAAGACTAGGGACAATATAGGCCCCCTACACTGGGAGAACTGGGTACCCTGGATTTGGAGAAGGCTGAGGTTCTGAATGATGTTTTTGCCTCGGTCTTCGCTGGCAAAGGCTCTGACCACAGCACCCAAGTCTTGGAAGGCAGACACAGGGACTGTGAGAATGAAGACCCTAGGCCCACTGGGCCCACTGTAGGAGAGGATCTGGTTTGAGATCATCTTAAAAACCTGAACGTGCACAAGTACGTCAGTCCTGATGAAATCCATCTGCGGGTCCTGAAGGAGCTGGCAAATGAAGTTGCTAAGCCACTGTCCATCATATTTGAAAAATCATGGCAGTCAGGTGAAGTTCCCGATGACTGGAAAAAGGGAAATATAACCCCCATTTTCAAGAAGGGGAAAATGGATGACCCGGGGAATTACAGACCAGTCAGTTTCACCTCTGTGCCTAGCAAAATCTTGGAGCAGATTCTCCTGGAAGGCATGCTAAGGTACATGAAAAACAACAAGGTGCTTGGTGACAGCCAGCATGGCTTCACTAAGGGGAAATCCTGCCTGACCAATTTGGTGGCCTTCTATGATGGGGTTACAGAACTGATGGACAGGGGTAGAGCAGTTGATGTCATCTACCTGGACTTGTGTAAAGCGTTCAACACTGTCCCACATGACATCCTTGTCTCTAAATTGGAGAGACATCAATTTGATGGATGGACCACTCGGTGGATAAAGAATTGGCTGGATGGCTGCATGCAAAGAGTTGTGGTCAATGGCTCAATGTCCAGCTGGAGACCAGTAACGAGTGATGTCCCTCAGGGATCAGTTCTGGGACCGGTCTTGTTTAACATCTTTGTTGCTGACATGCACAGTGGGATTGAGCGCGCCCTCAGCAAATTTGCCGATGACACCAAGCTGTGTGGTTCGGTCGATACGCTGGAGGGAAGGAATGCCATCCAGAGGGACCTTGACACGCTTGTGAGGTGGGCTGATGCCAACATCATGAAGTTTAACCATGGCAAGTGCAAGGTCTTACACCTGGGTCGGAGCAATCCCAGGCACAGCTACAGGTTGGGCAGAGAAGAGACTCAGAGCAGCCCTGCGGAGAAGGACTTGGGGTTGTGGTTGATGAGAAGATGAACATGAGCAGTCAGTGTGCGCTCGCAGCCCAGAAAGCCAATCGTATCCTGGGCTGCATCAAAAAGAGCGTGACCAGCAGGTCGAAGGAGGTGATCCTGCCCCTCTACTCTGCTCTTGTGAGACCTCATCTGGAGTATTGTGTGCAGTTCTGGTGTCCCCAGCATAAAAAGGACATGGAACTGTTGGAACAAGTCCAGAGGAGGGCCACGAGGATGATCAGGGGACTGGAGCACCTCCCATGTGAAAATAGGCTGAGAAAGTTGGGGCTGTTCAGCCTGGAGAAGAGAAGGCTGCGTGGAGACCTCATAGCAGCCTTCCAGTATCTGAAGGGGCCTATGGGGGTGCTGTGGATGGACTCTTCATTAGGGACTGTAGTGATAGGACAAGGGGTAATGGGTTAAAAAACAGGGGAAGTTTAGATTGGATATAAGAAGGAAGTTCTTTCCTGTTAGGGTGGTGAGGCACCGGAATGGGTTGCCCAAGGAACCTGTGAATGCTTCATCCCTGGCAGTGTTCAAGGCCAGGTTGGACAGAGCCTTGGGTGACATGGTTTAGTGTGAGGTGTCCCTGCCCATGGCAGGGGGTTTGGAACTAGATGATTTTAATGTTCTTTCCAACCCTAACTCTTTTATGATTCTATGACATCGAGCATACCCTTCCTAAATGCCTTGCCGCTGTTCACTGCAGAGCTCATCCACAGACTACACAGACTGGGTGCCAAGTTCTCACTTTTACTTCATTAGTTTCATATACAAAAATGAGGATCCTAGCGCCTACAGATAATTAGTAATCTCTCTAGTAGCTAGATGTGCTCCCCATCTGTGTGCTATTCATATTACCTAGTCGTAACTTGTACTACAATCATTCCTGCTCTGTGTGTCTTGAATTATTTGCATTTTTAAGATCATCATTGTCACAAACACTGAAGTGACTCATAACTTTTAAAACTGAAAAAGCCTATATTTGAGGTGTTGTCAGTACAATGGCTGATTCTAAAATGCTTCCTTCAAAAAGTTCATATTCCTCCTTTTTTTCCCAGAAGGTCTTTTCAGGTTTCTGACTTTTTTTTTTTTAATATATATAGAGAAAAATATTGTTGGTTTCACCAGCTTTGTACAGGAACCTGACACTAAACTTACACAGCTTGAGCCCAATCATCCCAGATGACTTCCTTAACTAAAAGTACCAGCCTACAGAGGCCCTGTGTATATGTATAGGGATGAGAGTCTCTCTGTCTGTGTTCATGTGCTTCTGTGTCTTGCTCTGGCTCTGACAATGTCCCTTCTCCTCCATTTTTGGTCTTTCTCCCTTTTCGCTCTAAATCCACCTATTTACACAAATGGAAACAGCTTTAACAGTTTCCTGACTCACCTTAAGATGCACTAAGGTAATGAGGAATTTATTTTAATGAGAATATTGCATTGCTTAATAATTTTTTTTATGTGATTAGGTAGAAACATCATAGGAAGGGCTATTTTTTTTACTCTTCTGGATTTTTAGTGGGCTTTCAAAGCTTCTTGGAAACAAAGTTACGACATGGATCTCAGACTTTCTTCCGCTCTATCCATCATTTTCTCGAAGACCAGTAACCATGTGGGTTTAGGAGAAGCCTGTTGCAGTCTGAGTCACAGATAAAGTACTGGAAATCTTGCAAAAAATTACAAAACAAAAAAAACATACAAGGAACAAAAGTTAGCAATAGAACTCTGCCACAGAAAAAAGGAAAATAGTCCTCAATAACATCTTACTAAAAAGGTTTACAAATACAGCCAACAGACACAATAATAAATGTAAAAATAGAAACACACATTTCATAGTGACAGCTAGCATAATTCAGGTGTCTTAGAGTTCCCTTCTCAGAAATAGAGGAATTTTCACTATCAGATGAATAAATGACCCAGACATGTTCTCTGCATCCAATAGCTTCACCAGTGCTTTGAAATTCTTCAGTCTTTGATGATGAGGCCTACACATTTAAAGTGTAACATTTCCAGAGGCATACAGGAATTCAAAAAAAACACAGCCTGTGCATAGCTATGCAGTTGCACAGAATTCTCGAAGGAAGCTCTGCTTCCAAGACTAGGGTCTTTTCAGCACTGTGAAAATTAAGATGACAATATGGGTTTCAAAATCTCCCCACTTTCTTGATCACAATATCCTGACTTCTTTAGAGACGTCTTTATAGACTCCCCCTACTTTGATATAGTTTTTCTGTGTCATTTTTCTTTTCACTCAGTCGTTCATTTTCCACAGCCTTTTTCTGGAAAAAGTCAAAACATGTGTCTTGGGAACAAGAACACATAGCCAGTATCCATGTGTGTATATACAATACGGATTGTAACCTTGTTTGCACATACTGAATGTAACCATATCAAAATACTCAGGCAAGCACTGACTAATATTTTAGCAGTTAGTTTTACATAATAAAGTCTGAAATTGTTAGTTTCCCCAATATGTGGTTTTGTTTTTTTTTTTTGTCATAAAGTAATTAGCTAGGAGTTTTAGGAACTCTTAACAGTGCTTTAATGCATAGTTCCAAGTTACATGTCTGATCTCATTATAACAATGTCATTTTCTTTCCCCAGATTAGAAGCAGATAATGAAAGAAGTTATCTTGTTCTTGGACTGCTGTGCAAGAGGCCCTTGTTGGTAAACCCAGTTTAGGCTTATTCCTATTACACTGATCCACATGCAGTTACTTTCCTGTGAATATGAGAAGCTTAAAACTGTATTCAGTACTCCATTTCCTCACTTATTACTCAATTCCTGGTGGGCCAAAACCTCTGCCAGGGCATGGTCTTCTATTATTTACAGGAACTAAGGAGCTTAACCTTTTAAGTCAGCTAAGAATGGCCTCTCACAATCCCTGAAGATATTTCTTTCTGGACACAGTCCACCGAACCCCTGGAAGTGGGGGGAATGTACTGAGGTATGACCTGACACGTTTGCCTTCTAACTCATGACTCTAAGAAAAATAAACTGAGTGGGATTTTTTTCTTTAACATCTGCTTTCCAAGATGGGTAGTTGCCCTCAGCACCCACCCTTTCTTTTGGAAGCATTGGGGTGGAAATGTTTGAAAAAAAAATAAACACTTTGCTAAGTATAATGAGAATTGGGATAAAACCCTGAGAAGTGGGCACTGTTGTTGGGCTGAGCATTTTTCAGACTGGTATCAAAATAATACAGGGCCAATTAAGAGAAGCTGAACCCAAAATCTGCAGATAGCAAAATATGTAAACTGAAATCTGATTCAACTTCTTGTTTTCAATTCACAAGAAACACTGAAAGAACCAAACTGCAGTTAACAGTGTGGTCTATGCTTAGTCTGATGGCCACAAGAGGGTACAATTTGTAAACTGTAAATGACTGTAATGGTCCCACGGAGGTTTCTCTAAGTGTCCTCATTCCTTTTTGAAGTCACAAGAATCCATCTCCAGAACTGCCTGAAAGAAATTCTGGCACAGCACTTCCCAGGGCAAGTCCCTACAAGGGCTGCACAGGTGGTTAAACAAAGGTAAAAAGTGCCTTTCTGTGCATGTGCTGCGTGAGGTTTCCCTTCATTGGGGCCCATAACCTGCAGTTCTGACAATCAAATTTTTTCAAAGCTTTCATTGCATTAGCCAGCACAACATGCCTTCAGCTACTTTAAGGGCACCCAAACAATACTCCTGAAGGCATCTGTGTTCTTAAGTAGTCCTCAGGCAACAGAGCCAGGCCTTAAAGCAAAGGGCGAGTGGTTTATCTGAGCCACTGGGGAGCCAAGTACCAATTCTGTAGCTGAGCACTGACTTCATCACATGGCAAGCAAACTAGAAAGTGGAGAAAGGAAAACAGTGCTTGACTGGAGGCCTCCTCGTGAGTGTAATGAATTCTGGAGTGAAAGCTCATCACCTGTGGGTTTGGCTCTAACTAGCACGGGTATAACTCACTTTGATAAACAAGTATCAGTACTTGCCTTAAAGTATAAAAAATAATCTAATAGAGTACATAAATTACAGTGAGCTCCCATGTGTGTAGTGTACCTAGAATATAAGGTGGACTCACACAGTGGTGTGTCTGCAGGGTCCCAAATGACTACTGTGTTTGCATATTTTAGGGAAATCTGTCAAACATATGTTCAGATGTTGGCAGCAGTGGCAAAAGCAGAGACTCGAAAGCTTCTGTTTGTTACTGCGATTGTTAGATCCTGTTTCTGCCTATGGAGACCCAACAGCCGTTCAGACAGAAGCTGTTTGACTTGAGGCTCACTCAGCAATGTGTGACAGGGAAAAAAAAAGGAAGGAAAAAACCCTTCTGCGAGATAACCATCCCGGTTGTGCTCGCAGAGCAGCCACACAAACGCGAACCTGGTTGAACACAGCTCGATGTCTCCTCCGCGGTGGGACCCGGGGCTGCGCGTTTGACATTCCCGGCCCGCGCACACGCGGGACACATCCCGTCTCGCCGCGACAGCGGTCACCTCAGGCCCCGCAGCGCGCTGCGCAGAGCGCGGGAACAGCCGGCGCCGCCGCCGGGGGCGCTGTCACCCCGTGCCGCCCCTCCCTAGGCCCGCGGTAACGGCCCGTGCCGGGTCTCAGGGGTGTCCCGCTGGCGCAGCTCCGGCAGTGCAGTGCAGTGCAGTGCAGTACGCTGCGTGGGGGCGGTGGTGCCGGTGCGGGGCTGCCAGTGCTCCGTGAAGTCACCAGTAGAGCGCCGTATCCAGCGGCGCGAACCCTTCCCGGTGCCCGCTCGGGGCGGCTGTCCCTTTAAGCACTGGCGGGCGGCCCGTTCCGCCGCTGGCTGGGAGACCCCGCGCTTCCAGTGAGAGGTGAAACCAAGATGGCGGCCGCGCAGTGACTGAGGCGGAGTCGGAGGGAGCCGGGCTGGATGGGCCGCATCGTACCGCGCCGTCCCTCCTCGCCCCTTCCGCAGAACAGAGCGCCTCTCTGCTGGCCGGGCTGCTGAGTGCCTGGAGGGCAGCCCAGTCGCAGGGTGCACAAAGGAGTCAGGACTGAGCCACCGCAGACCGGGAGGAGGAGGAAGAGGAGGAGGAGGAAGAAGAAGAACATGGCGGCGGAGTCGTAGTGGGAGTGAAGCCGCTGCCTGCGACGGGAGCTCATGGGGCAGACGAGGTGCTGAGCTTGCCAGCCCGCTTCATCCTGCTCCGGGACAGGCAGCGCCTACAGGCCCCGGCCAGCGCCGGCGGGAAGGAGGGCGGCACCTCGGAGCCCCGCGCTGACGGACTGCGAGCGAGGGGCTTCGGGCCTGGGCAGCTGCTGCACAATAGAGCCAAGCTCCAGGCCCGGGCGAGTGGCCCCTCTCCCGCCTGCCTCCCCTCGCCTGCTTCACCGCAGCCTCGCCAGCTTCCCGCCTGCTTCCTTCGCCAGGGCCCGGGTCCCCTGCTCTTGTCACCCCGGGCTGGCTGCCCTTTGCTGCCCGTGCCATCTGCTCTCCACCGCTGCTTCCACTCCCGTGGATCCGCTTCTCCTCCAGGAGCCCTTCTTTACCGCCTCTCCTGCCTGCCCTTCACCCTCCAAAGAGCCTCTCTCCTCTGCGCAGGCTTATTCGTCTTTTGTGCTGCGCCTGACGGTACCTGGAGCAGCTCCCTTTTTCCATCTCCACCTCTTTTCTCATTCCCCTTTTTCCCTTGAACCCCTTCCCCCAACCCTGTTACCCTCGGCAATGAGGAGTCCCTTGGAGCACTGAAGAGGAGTAAGAAAAGCTTGCTTGGTGTGCCTGTGTGGGGCTGCTACCTTATCTCCCGCTCCCCTCCTTTGAGGGGAGCCTAGCCGCCGAGTAGCCTCCTGCTTGTCCAGCTGTTGTAAGCAAGAGTGGTGGCTGTGTTGTGGCAGGCGGCAGGATGACTGACACCCGGCGGAGGGTGAAGGTTTACACGCTAAATGAAGACCGCCAGTGGGACGATCGAGGCACAGGGCATGTGTCCTCTTGCTACGTGGAGAGGCTCAAGGGCATGTCCCTGCTAGTCAGGGCAGAGAGTGATGGTAAGTGTGTATGTTAGACGGTACAGTCTTTCCTCATCTTACCCAGAAAAGGAGCTGGTCTTAGTTTTGTGTCTGTTGCCTTAAGGTTTTGCTGCGTAATTCTAATGTGATTTCTAAAAGCAAGTAGGCTCTAACCAGAGTTCATTCGTGGTAGGCCAAGTGAAAGACATGGAAGATTGCCATGAAGTACAAGCATAGTAGACACTTGGTTCATAGTGAATAGTGTGTTGCATACAAAATACTTGAAGCTTATGTTGTAAAGCTGGAATGGGTTTGGCCATCTAGTGATCTATCACTACATGCCGAATGTACTCCAGTTTCAAAACTGATAACTATGATGTATCCTTCCTTAGATGTTTCTGGAAATGATCTCGTGAATGGAGTTGTTCAAAACTTAGATCATGTTTTTTAGCATAAATTTTTGAAAGGCGATTGGATGGCTAACACGTTTTCCCCCCCACCCCTTCTTCCCCCTCCCCCTTTTCTTTGATAGCTTTTAGAATGTCTTGCATAATTCTTGCTATCAACAGTTTTCAGAGGACACTTGTTACGGTAGTAAAGACAGTACAGTGGATAGAACAGCATTTTCAGAGATTTTTTTTTTTATGGAATGGTATTTCTCAGTCGTTCAATAGTTCTAGATCTTCCTGTAAATACATTTAAAACGATGCATTATTAAATTCCTTCATATTTTCTGAACAGCATGTAACAGTTGTGTAGGTTGAGTAGTAGCATCTGCTCCTGCAGCTACATGTTTGGGCTAGTCTTGATTATTGGTTAAGTGACTTCATGACTGCTATGATCAGAGTAGATTGTAAAATACATACTTTGCAGTATCTAGCATGTATCATTTTGATAGTAAAGTCTGTCAGTGTATGACTTACTACTTCATTAGATATACAGCTGGCTGTATCTGGTGACTTGTAGATCTAGTTGTAGCTTGTGACCGTCAACAGACCTTGTAACTTTCTTTATTTGGGTTTAGGAGCTAGTTGAAAAAGCATCTTGAGAATCATTACATCTTACTGTTTGAAAAAGTACTGACAAACTGTAATCTGTACAGTACAGATCATAAACTGATATGGAAGAATGAAACTTTGAGCAGGATTTTGATAATAGAGCTGCTGATAAGCATAAATCTCAGGATTTTGTTGCTTCTTGATTATACTTTAAAAAGTTGAACTGATGTTAAACGGATAACTTGATTTTATTTTTCACTAAAGTTGCATTTATAGTTTGGCCATCTTCATAGTATAACAGAAATTGTTTGAAATGGTAACAGACTTAGTTTCATTTCAGTGTGAGAAGGGAAGTAAAAAGGTTATCACTACGTTTTTAGGCTGATCTTTACAGTATATTTTATTATAGATGCCGTTGCTGTGTATATAGTTGATGTGCTTGTGTTTAAAAACTGTTATGTCTTCTGCACACTAAACAGTTTCCTATTTGTTTCGCTGGGTATTTTTTAAATTCTTTTTAGAAAAGAAAGCAAAAGAACTGCAGGTCATAACCTGCTTGTGAAGAAATAGCCCATTCAAACTAAAATCCCTTTATTGACTTTTATTGGGATATGGATGCATAAGACTGATTAGAACCTGAATTGGGCTGTTGTTGCCAGCTTCTTTGTTGTAAATGAGCATCTGTAAGAAAGAAAATACAGACTGGTATAAATGATCCCCAGAAAAGATGAAGTCATTACTTCGTGTTGCATAGCTAAGATATTCTGTCAAAGCAAAACTGGCTCAAACTTACTAATTGCACCTAATACACGGAAGTTATTTAATGGGATACTCGCATTAGACTTCTCTCAAACAGAATCCACATATTTCAAGAGTATTGAATAATACAGAGCTTAAGTTCTTAATTTAGTAGGTAGTATCAGTCCTGGGTAAATGTGCACTCTATTAATAGGCTAGTTTTTCTAGCTTGCTTTTGTAAGCACGTCATAAAATCAATTTATTTTGTGTACTCTACGTGGCAGTTGTTTACAGGCTGATTTTGGAGGCAAGCATAGTCATTTTTACGTGTGAGCAAATGTTTTGGGAAAAGGTAACACCAGACTAGTGTTTTAGGTACTACACAATTTGTGCATTCTCTTGCATGCTTTTTTAACTAAATGAAGTAATTCACTGTGATTTCTCTTACTCCTCTCTCCCTCCCAGTTATCAGAAACATAAAAGTACTGGGAACCTGACCTGTACGTCATTTGTCTTCATGTTTCTGTTGCGTTCTTGTATTGTCTTTCTTTGTCAGCTCCTTCTCGTTCCACAATGAAACTTCTTCCTTCCTAGCTTTTCCTAGCGTTAGAGCTGAGATTTATCCTGTGCATGCTGGTGTGTTCTTACTGACTTATTCAGGAAGCTGACTGAAAACCTTGGGATCTGCCTAAGTTAAAAGCTCTGTTTCCTGAGTGGGGGAGGCTATGGGGGATGTTAGCAAGAGTTCTTGCTGTGGATGGGAAATTGCCAGTCATGTGAAAAGGCCAGTTCGGCTGTGGACAGCGTGACAGCAGAATTACCAGAGGTTCATTTGGCTGATCACTGGGGCTAGCACATAGTTCAGTCTTTTGATTGAGCAGCTGTGACTTGGTGTAGCTCCATAGCTGCTTTCCGAGTGGCTGAGATTTTATGGCAGGGTCAGGGGGTTCAGGTAAGGGGGGCAGTATGCCAAGTCCAAGGTAAGCAATCATTTGAAATTGGAGGAGTAAGAGTGCAATTTTTTTTTTTTTTTTTCTTCATCTATAGGAGTAATTGGGATTTGGTTTTGTTTGGTTGTTTTTTTTTCCTTGGGTTGGTGGTGGTTTGGGTTTTTCTTGGTTTTTTTTTTTTAACACCATCTTAAGAGCTGAGAGCAGTTGGATGATTTACATTGTTATCTGAGATGTCTAATGCTCCCAAGGCACTAAACTTTAAGAATCATTGCAGGCTATTTGGAGTAATCTCTTACTGTACAGAAATAGCATAAACTGCTTTCAGATCAGATATATTATGCTTTTAAACAGGGAATTGATTTTTTTGATTTTGTTTTTTTACACTTAAACAGCTGTTAACTTTTTTACTTAAAACTCTGAAAAGTTTCGCTGTATGATTCCTAGTTGCACTGTATGCTACTGGAGTTGCAGTAGGGCAATAGTGAACTCTTTTCTTACAAATAATCACCTTCCAGGTGAGTTTCTGTGTGTATTTGAAAGCCTTTGGTTTCTTACCTGTTTCTCACATGGTATTTGAGGCTGTGGTGGCCTGCCTCATTCTTGAAATGTCTGTGTGCTTCTAGATTTTAACTGCATAGTTTCACATCACTTTTTTTGTTCAGAACTCGGATGCCTAAAGTGACCTCTGTAATGAACTTTTCTGTTCAGCTAAGTCATGTTAATTTGAAGGCTTAAACTTTTAATTGAAGCTTACTAGTCCTCACAAGTCCTTACTAGTGAACTCCCTCATTGGAGGCCATGTTTAATGACTTTAGTCACAGGGCAGGCACCTGCATCCTCACTCTTTCTTTAGACTAGTTATCAGTAACCCTGTAACACTGGCAGAAAGCTTAGCCAAAGTTTGTCTTGTTTGTTTTACCTTGCTCCAAATTTAAGGGTTTAATTTTGTTTGTTTATAGGAAAGCAACACCAAAAAATTTGTGGTTATGTACTTACTTTAGGTTAAAATACCTAAAGGGGGCCTACAAGAAGTCTGAAGAGGGACTTTTTACAAGGTCATGTAGTTGCAGGACAAAGGAGAATGGGTTCAAACTTAAACAGGGGAGATTTAGGTTGGATACTAGGAAGAAATTCTTTACTGTGATAGTGGTGAGGCCCTGAGAGAGACTGCCCAGGGAAGTTGTGGCTGCCCATCCCTGGCAGTGTTCAGGGCCACGTTGGATGGGGCTTTGAGCAACCTGGTCTAGTGGAAGGTGTCACTGCCTATGGCAGGGGATTGGAACTAGATGATCTTTAAGGTCCCTTCCAACCCAAACTATTCTATGATTCTACGAAAATGCCACCCCTTACCCCTCAAGAAACCCAAACCAAAACAAAAATTACCCAAACAAAACCATGGGAGTTGGGGATGGGCTTTTTTTTGTTTCTTGGTTCTCCCCTCTCCTTAATGTTTGGGTTTGAACCTTCAGAAATACATTAGACTGATGAATAGTCTCTTGCAAATGCAGAGTGCATTCCTGGACCTCAGTTTGAGCTGTTTCCTGTGTTTCAGTGGATTGGTTTCTGTGAATCACTAGCAGCAGAACTGATTGCAGAGCTTAAACCTCTTTGTGCATCTTGCAGAAAACAGCACTTGAGCTGAAGTTTTCATTTAAAAAAACCCCATGTTTGTACTGGTGCAGGGAGGTGAGTGACACTGTACCTTTTCTGCTTTTGAGGAAGGATCCACGTAACAGTTAGATGGGAGAGGAGCAGTGTTCCATGTCAGCAGGTCTTTTCCATATGTATATATGTAAACAAGTCTGCAGATTTGTAGATGAAGGCTACTGGCTCAGAATACTTCTCTAAGTATCTTTGAAAATAGCATTGTATATCTGTATATGTAATCTCTTTGAGCAAGTTGTTCCCTGTACTCGCATTCCTTTCTCAGCATAGAATGGTGTAGTTACAAAACAAACCAGCTGTGCCTTTCTGCATTACAGTGGCAAATAACAGAATTCTGCAAATCAGTGTTTTCTTCTTTATTAGATGGTTTCAAATGTTACTTTCTGGCACCAGTGTTTTGCAGTTCCCTTTATAAATTCATTCAAGGATATAATTAGATCTGCATAATTTTGGGGAGTTTATTAAAACCATAGCTTGTATTAAGGTAAGTTTTCAGGTGTTACCTAACTATAGTCATTGGGTCAGTGAAGATGAAATTTTGTTGGTGTATTTTTATAAAGTAGACTGGATAGTCTTAATGTATTCTAGCGTAGTACCAAAAGAAAAATACCTACAGAGAAAGTAATTGCTTATGACAAATGCGAGATTAAGCATCTTGATCTGTGTTTAGGAATCAGTACTGATACTGATTTTGAATGGAGGAGAACTTTGGTTTGGGTATGTTGAATTTCTGTAACTTTTTTCCAAAGAATATATTTGTGTTACAGATGTCTATTACTGCTGCCTGGTTCACAGAAGAAATTAAGGGAGACCTAAGACTGTCTCATACCAGCAAGGGGCCTGACCCTGTAAAACTTAGTATAGGAAAATAGGCTCACTAAACTAACTGGTAGAATAGTCACTGATTTTTTAGTAGTTGAACATTTTAGAACAAATTGCACAAATAGAACATCAGATCCTTCAGAAGGATGGGTTGGGGGCAGCTGTTAGGTGTAGGGCACACCTTTTACACTTCACTACATTTCTATTTCCAAATGTATGTTTTTCTAGTTATGAATCACAAATGGTGAGGAATAAGTTGAATCATGTAGTAATGAGAAGCAAGTCAAGCCTTATAATGCTCGATTTGTCTTTCCTGCAAACATCAGTTTTAGCAGAAGAGGAGAATAAATGTTCTGTGGTAAGTGTAGTAAGGAAATTATTCTTTGGTGTCTCCTTCTAGCCTGGAAGATGAAATGTCTTCATTCATTGTCTTCCAAGATTTATTTCAAGTATTTTGTCAAACATGGTGTTCAAGACTGCTAATTTCAGGATTCCCATGTCTGTAGATGTGTGTTCAGCAGTTAAAATATGTTGAATTTATCAATTGCTATAATTCTTACGATTCTGATTTGTATTTGCTGCTATTAAATATTTCTAGATAGTGAAGAATTTGTAGAAGTTAGTCAGCTGGGTGAATAGCTGAAAATAATATTCTAAAACTTCATGTATTTGAAGCTGAGGCTTTGAAACTGAAAGTAAGATTGAAGTGAAATAGTGCCTGTAAGAGATGATTGTAACAAAAAGGGTATGCTGGTTTTAGATGTTCACTAGGCAAACCCAAAATGCAGATCTCAGGACTGTGGCCTAAGTACTAGTGTATTGGAGTCATCAGTAAAGCTCATCTAGGATATTTTCCTTCTCTGTCCAGCTGTCACAAGGGTTGCTACTCTAAGCATTAGTTTCTGTATATGCTTTCCAGCAAAAGAATGTGTTTTAGCTAAACTTTAAGAACAAATACCACATGATTAGCAAAATTCATACAAAATAACTGGGGGTGATCTGTGAAATACACTTATAATGCTTTTTGTGTGCTGATTTTAAAATCTCTAAAAACATTCCCTGAAAAGTCATTACTCTGAATAAGAAAGCAGTTCAAAATCCAGTCCTCAAAAGAGTCTTGGATATTCTGTACTATGTGAAAAATATATTTGAGGGAAAAACAAAATACAAAGCTGTAGAATATGGTTTTCACAGGCTCGTTGTTGGGAGGAAGGGTGTAACTACTTGTGGAAAGAGTGATCAGAAGATTCATGTTGAAATTGGAATTTAATACACATGTAAATAGTACACATGTAAAGTGGAACTTTTTTTTCTAGGTTCTCTTCTTCTGGAGTCGAAAATTAACCCTAACACTGCGTACCAGAAGCAACAGGTAAACATACTGCTTTTTCTTCAAATTTGGAGGCAGGTTCTTTAACTTCAGCAATAGTTGATTGTTGGTTTGGGGTTTTTTTTGCCTCTATTTCAAATTTTATTTTATGTTTTTGTACCAAACATAGGAGACAAAGTAGTTCTCAACATTTTGTGCATTTCATAATATACGCGTGTTATTTCTCTGCAGTGTTTGTGAAGTTTATAGATAACTTGCACTCTGTTTTACATCAAAAGTTGCTTTGGGAGAGACAGGCAAAGCATAGGTGTGAAAATCACAAAGTAGCTGAGGTTCCTGAGGATTATAGTATCAGAAATTTAATATCATCTGGCTTTTTTATTTGTATTTCAGACACTACAATTTGCGATGTGTTTTGTTTAAGACTAGAAGGCTTTAAAGCTATTTAGGTATTTACCTTTGTTTGGTTTTTGCTTCAAGATGGATATGGGTTACTAAAGCTTCAAAGCATTCTCTGTACACAAAAGCAGCTTCTCACCTCTAGCTTGCACCTTTCTTCAATTATTGAAGCCCTGAAAGAAAGCTGCTGAGGTGGGTGAGAAGTGAACTGTAGGTCTTGAATTTTCTTTTCTGTTAATCTCTCATGGATGCTGAGAATTACCCTTAGAGGTTTAAAAATGTTAAACCAGATTGTATTTTGTTGCCCATCTAGTCAGCCCAGACTTGCTAAAATCTGGTAAGGTGCAGCTAATGTATTAAAATACCTTTCAGTCTTCACCTTTAATAGTTCATTATAAGCATAGATGTACTGTAGTTTTGCTCACAGGCAGACCCAGTGGTTGTGCAGCTGCTTGTTGGATTTTATCTTGAACTGAATGAGGAGAACCAGTCTGGGTTAAAATACCCTTCCTTGAAAAATTTAACCTCTATCAGCCCCTTGGTATAATTAGTAATGCACCATATCAGCAGTCTGTACTGAACAACTGATAAGGCCAATGGAGAGTGGAAAATCAATTGCAGGGAGTAAGAAAAGACAAGACCAGAAAAAATGCTAAGTAAACTATCTCTTGGTTGTAATCCTGACTGTCCTGAGGTCATGGTTCTATGATACAGTAACTCAAGCTTTAGGACTCCTAAAACAACGTTGAGTATTTCACAGCTTTATGACTAAAAGTGCTGTTCTAGTGTAAACTTGCTTAGCTGATTCAAGTCTGTTGAAAAGGCACTGAGGTGTGAGCCTTGTATCAATAGGCTTAATGCCAGATCAGATGTGAAGCTTACTTAAAGTAGGCATAAAAATTGTCAGATCTGTGCAAACCCCCACACGTGCCTGTGTGTGCAACAGCGTTTCACACCTGTGGTCATGGCTACTCTGGGTCAGAGTCAGACATGTGGTGTGATCTGGCACTGCACAAGTCAATACTGGTGATTGTGAAACTGTGGTTACTAAAATAAAAATATTAAACTTGAATCTGTCCTTTTGAAACAGCACTGTATGTGTTCTGTGCAGGAGAAAGAAAATTGCTGTTCTTAAAGCTTTCAAATGCTGCATAGACAGAATTTATATTTGTAGGTGGATTTTTCATAATAGTTAAGCCAAGCAGTAACTAATATAGATTAAATGTAGGGCCCCACTCTGAGCCTTACAAATATCAAATCTTTCTTGGTGGGTGTACTAATCCTGCTTTATAGCACATTCTCTTTTATGTGAGGCCTTCTTTTCCTTTATTAAAAGGCAAGTGCAGAGTTTAAACCTGATTCCATATGAGCTAATCTTAGGAATTTAACAGCTGAAAGGAAGAGTTGCTTATTTACAGCTGCTCTCATAGAATTCTGAACTCCCTAAACTCACTAAACCACAATACTCCAAATCCCTCTTCAAAGACTCATAACTGTCTCTGTGAGCAGAAGTTTCAGGCAACCTCACACAATACCCATTTGTGGAACTGTGAGATGGAAGAGTGAGAAATCTTTCCTTTTTGGCTTCAGGATGCCACTTAGGTCACCTAAGCTACTACTGAAATTGCAGCCTGAGGTAGACCTTTGAGTTTGCCTGCCAGTTGTGCTCATAAAGTTTCGAGAACAATCTTCTAGAAACTAAGACTTAAAACTTCAAAGTTAACTTCCCAGTGTTATGGTCTTACCAACCTTTTATCTTTGAATTTTGTTGTGAGGGTGAGCCTCCATTCCATTTTAAAGAGATATGCAGCAGTACATCTGTTTTTACTGTGACGTACTTAGCATGTGCCTTGTGGGTCTTCAGATATCTAATTGAACTAATGGAATTAGTGGATAAGGTCTTTGGATGACTATTGTCTCAGCTGACATGAGGCTTGTAAGAAGGAACAATTTTTTTATTGGACCAACTGATATAATTTGTGATTGGTAGGAAGGAGAGGTATGAGAAGTTCTTGGGGAAACTTTCAATGCCAGTTGATTTGGATTCTTCACCAACCCTATAGATAATAATAGGGGTGTAATAAACAGTGTAATAAACAGTGGAGTTCTTCAAGAAGAATTTTGTAATAAACAGTGAAGTTCTTCCACTGGTGAAAGAACCTTCTACCTACTCTGCACTGTTAATGCCACTGTGAAAATGATTGTCTCATTAATTGTTGGTATCAAAAATGATGCAGTCTCAGGGTATACATCTGCATATTTTAATGATAACTGTCACAGCTTAGAACATTATTTGTCAGAATGGTAGTGTGAAGACCTGAGTACAAGTTTGCCTTGCTGCCACTTTTGTCTTGGTGTGTAAGACATCCATGGAAAAACAAATAAACCATCCCCCAAACAAACAACAATAAAACCAAATAAATAAAAAAACTAAACCAAAACAACAGAAGCCATACCCTGTGAACCTGACATAACATTTTGTCAAACTGTCTGCTTTAGATTTCTTGGGGTTCAGAGTTGAAAGCGTTGACTGCCCTTTATTGTGGGTTAGTCAGGTCTCTGTGTGCACATAAATGTTGATCTGATTGGTAGTAGATGCAAATGTCTGCCCTTTGGAGAGAAGAATACTTGGTAGATCTTGGTATCGCTTGGGGGCTCATTTTTCATGCATCAGCACTGTCCTGAGATACTTCCCCTGTCTTCCCAGACTTACTTACCACCTGGAGGTTTGGAATAACTTGTTAAAGTATGAAACATGTGGAGAGTCAGATAAATTAGATTAAGTCTTTCTGTCACCATGAAGAATCATTCTGCTGCGTTCATGAAGAAAGATGTGTCTGTGAACCTCACCAGTGGCAGTTTTTGTATGCTCTGATCTGCATGCTTCCTGGCAAACTCGTCATTACTTATACTAGAACTAGAAGAAAGGAATCCATGTGAGGAAAATCAAGCTAGAAAGAAAACATCTTGAGAAACTAATGCCTTGTGGCTCAGAAAAAGGACTAATATTTCTTTTTTTAAGGTATGATTTGTAGTCAGAAGATTTATTCTGAAGAAGTAAAATGTGCATCAGTACAACTCAGCCTCCTGATTTTTTCTTGTTTAGGACTGTATGCTGAGTTTTATTATTATTCTTATTTTTAAATGTTACCATAATGATGATGATAAGTTCAGTATGGAATATACTGGATTTAATTATGGGTAAGTAGCATAGAGCTTAAAAGCAAATTTTGTTAATAAGGGTAATTTAATTATACAGTGGTTGCTGGACAACACATACAATACTTAGTTTAACTCTTCTGGTGTTGTTTTCTTAATATACTAGTAAAGGTAAAAGATACTTTAGTTGCAATGCCCTGGTGAAGTCAGTTTACACACACTTCAGTTCATGCTCTGTTTCTTACATTGTTGGGTATTTTTTAAAGTATTAAAATGCCACAATTCCAGAATGCTAGTGTCAGAGATGCTGTTCTAAAATGAACATTCTTCAGAAAATGAGTAATTGCATTAGTATTTTAGAACAGCACATTACCTCCTATGCAACCTTAGAGGAGAAATAAACTCTATATACTTAGCATTTATCTAGGGAGAAAACTGGTACGGGTGTCGACTGGGGTATATACTTTAAATATACTTTGGCAGCACTTTAGCTATAGAACACTAAAGACTCACATTCTTTATTTTAAATACATCCACGTACATCCTGTAACCCAGTGACAAAATATGTATTACATCCCCTTTTGTGCCTGAAACAAGGAGGACTTGAGTTGCTTCCAGCTGCGAAGTCCTGCTTCTGCAGTAGAAACTTCAGGGTCTTGTGTTCTCTACTTTTCATTTCCTCACAAGAATACAAAACTTGCATTCATCTAGAGTACGTTCTGTTAACTACGTAGTTTAGAAGTAGTTATCCTTGTATAATGGAGAGCAGACTTGCTAATAACAAAGCTACATTTTGAACAGATCCAAAAAGGCAGTGGCAGAATACTCTGAGAAGATGAACTTCCTGCCCTTGCTGTCAGGACAAGCGAGTCAACAGTGAAACTATTTCAATAAAATTTGTGCCTATTGTAGCAAAGATAGTAAGGAAGAATGTGTGGTTTTGCAGGGTGAGAGGAGAAGCAATTAGAGTGACTGCTCTTGGGTTTGGTTGGGTTGGTTCATCTATTTCAAATAATCACGTTCCATTATCTTCACATGTTACCCAGTGAAATCCAATTCTGCTGCTGTTTCTGGGTATGGTCACTAGGCCAGTGAGTCCTTTCTGTTACAGAACTAATAAACTGGTTTTTATTTCATGATTCGTGGGAATGCAGCTATGAAATTGATAACTGAAAAGTCATGTATGATTATTGAGCTTTCATAGAAGTTAACAGAATACATTCTGCCATAAGACTGAGTGTGCTTTAATATATTATCCCAATTTTGGGGTTAACATTCAGATATTCCAGTTTCAGGTGAATAAATGCACAAAACCAAATGCAGAAGTGAACCTTTATATTACATTACTAGGATGGGATTTTATAGCCAGAAGATCCTGGTGAAACCTAACATGGTAGCTGTATAAATAAACTTAAAAAGCTTGGGTAGCACCAGTAGTTTATTTCTGAAGCAGAAATCTGCTTAGGAAATTGTACTTTTGATTGTAAATATTTAGCTAGCAAGATGCTGAAAGGTGGCTTGACATGTGGAAGTGTCTGCAACTGTAAACAGTGTAAGGGTTCTGATAAGTAAGACTATCAGTCAGGCAGTCCAAGAGGGGGAGGAACAAACTTCCTGTGCTGAACTTCCAGTGGGATCCAAGAAAGTTTCACAGGCCTGAATTGTTTGATGACTAGAAGGAAGAGATTAATTTGCTTCTTAAGACAGAAAGCAAGCACTTACGAAAGACCTGTGTAATTTGGGAATCGCTACTTCTTGAGAGTAGCTTGAATCTCACAGGGATGCCAAGAGAATATTTCGGAGCTGCTGTGAAGACTGATAATCATTCTCCCTGGATGTGAATACTAGTAGGAGGCCACTGTCGAACAGTAGTAGTTTTCTAAATTTTACCGCATTAGGAAAGAAAGCTTAAATCAATTTTACAGGAGAATCAAATCCTGAGTACTGATTGCTCTGAAATTCTTCATTATAAAATCCCAGGGCTTGCTTTGGAGGTTGTATGAATGCTGTACAATGCACCTGCTGATCAGCTTGCTAATAATTAAATAAAACTATTGAATGTCTAATAAAAATGTGATGTCTACTGAGTGTTAGTCAAGAGCTTGAGACTGATGGTGTGTATTCAACAACCTTTCTGTTAAGGAAATAATAAAAAAAAAATGTGAGGGGAATCACATGGTAGATACTAAGCCTCACTCATCTAAATACAGTTGCACTGTGTTCTGGCTCAAACTATTGGAGTAGTATTTTTGAAGTTCAGCTTTGTGGAAATGAAGTCTTAAATAAAACTGTAGGACACAGTAGTGTTCCCTGCAAACCTCTAACTAACCACCAAAGCTTGCTCCGTGTGGGTATGATACAGCAAACGATGAGACAAGCAGCAGAGGAATCCCCAACTGTATTCTGAAGAAGTTTTGCCTCAGGCTGTATCTTTATAAGCATAAGAGTGCAACCTCTTTGGTAGAAAGGCTATATACCTCTTTATGGGAATGTTATATATGCAGGTCTTCTAACAAGAGGCCATGATAAGAATTTTGGCTTAAAATTAAAAACTCCTGGTTATATATGAGCAGTCATAATGAACAATAATGTGGAAGAACATGAATTTATATAAATGGTCTTAAGGAGACAGCAAATTTTGTATAGGCTAAGATAGTGATGATCCATTCAACTGGCACTATTGTCAAGATATTTGTTTTGTGAAGCAGCAAGTGATTTTCAAACAGAATAAGGTTGAGAACTCTATATAAATAGTTTCCTGATTATCAGCCTATTTAAAAAAAATCTTGCCAAGAACTCAAGTGCATCTTTAAGAATGTTAAGAGCTAGAATCCGAGGATTCTGGCAAAGTACTTGGTGTGAAAGCCTTCAGTGATAAAATGTGTCCATGTTTATGGCATAGTTCACACAATATAGCTATGGTTTAATACTGCAATTTCACATTTTAATTGTTTTTAATGCCAGGCTAGACAAGAACAGGTTTCAGATGTTTGTGTTAGTCGTTTCATCCAGTTCCTTGTCTAGAGATTAACATTTTGTATATAATGAAAAAAAGGATATGTTTTTGATCAAACTGAGCCAGAACTGCTTTTATGAATCATACGAGATTGAAGATTTTATGCTCAGAAGGGTAATTTGCAAGACTCATCTCCTTACCTCTCTAACCAATAGCTCCTTCTCCTAAGCATTGGTATTCACACTGCTGTTTTCTCTCTGAATGGGAGAGGCAGTCTTGAGAAATTGTGGTTGCTTTTTGGAGTTGCAAGAAGTAATGTTTGGCATTTCGAAGCAACAGATAGTTTTATTCCATAGCTGAGAGATCCAGAGTAGATAGTGGATTCACGTTACACTGAGGAGATTTCAGATCAAACACATAGAAAGATTCCTTTAAATAAAAGCAGCAGAAACTAGATTTTTATTATTTTTTTTTATCTTTAACTGCATCTAGAATTCCCTTTAGTCACTTCTCACTACATATTATTTCTTGTCATGCTCTTCTTTTTGATGATTAAAAGCTTTGTATGGTTAAGGAAATAAAATTGCATTAATAACTGTGTGCATTTAACAATGAATTTAAACTTTGAACTGTATATTGTGCACCAGAGTGAAGTGTTTTTTCTCACTTTGTGTTCTCTTTAAAAGCTTTTTGAGGCAAGGAAGAATGTACAAATACTCCTAAAGATCCAGAGAGCAGCAATTGATAGATTTCAGTTGAGGCACTGATAAGAATCTATGATATGAAATCCTTGTATGATAAGACAACATACAACTAATCATTAGAAATTTTTAATGTTGGCAATTGGAAAATACTTTTCTGATGCTAATATATGTAACTTGAGTGTTACTGTTTTGTTGCTCAGTTTATTTCAGCAGATTTTGGTTTGCTTTCCAAACAAGGAAAAAGTGAAAAATCAGAATGTGTAGAGGTGAAAAAAATAGTCTGAATTCCCATATATGATAGTAGCTGATATAGTAGCTATAAGAACAGTTGCTATACTATAGCCAAATGCACATCTGTATATCTGTGACTATAGTTTTCAAAACAGCTTTACGTTTGTGTCTTCTCTTTCATTTTTTTCTGCCTGTCTTTCTCCCTCTATTTCTTCTGTCCCTGGAAGAAAAAGAGAGACTAACCAACTGATCTGTCTTGGTCCTGTGCTGGATTTTATTCAGAGACTTAAGAGCTTTTGTTTATTCAGTTTACCACAATATTATTAATGCTGTCCTTATTTTTATTCTTTTAGTAATTTCTCTATTTGTTAGTCATGTTTTTATAAAGAAAAAATTACATTTTTATCTTCTTTTGGAAATGGCTTGCTTAGAAATTTAACCACTTTTACTTAAATGGTGTTATAATTAGATAGGAGCGTTGCAAGTTCTGCTAGGGTCTACTTAAGCTTTAGTGTCAAGGTTTGTTTTTGCAAATATTAAGTAAGTGCTACTCAGTGGGAAGCTGATGAGACAGCGGCCTTAAAATTTCTACAGCATGAGCACTAATTGCAGAGATTAATGTATTACAGTTTGAACCTGATAGTTCCAATGAATACTGCAGTAAGGGACATCCTATGTTTAAAAGATGGTTAAAAAAAAACCACAAACCCAAAAAAAAACCCCAGAATTTTCTTTAGGACCTTCCTTTTCTACATTTTTGTAGCCTGTTATTTTTCTGGCTCTGTAGGAGTCAGCAGTACTAGGTGCTGTCAATCTGTTATTACCAGAGTATTTGCACCATGACCTGTCTTGTAGAGAATGAAGTATTAATTGTGACTTTCTTCTTCCTTTTGTATTTTGGAGGTGGTCTTCCTAAATCCCTTTCTTCTGTGTACCACCTCTTCCTCAACCCTTTGGAAAAGGTAAAGGTAAACTATTTGCCATTTGCAAGGTAAAGCCATTTGTGCCTCTGAAGCAGTATAGCTGCTCTGGTAATGGCAAATTGATTATATTGTATTGCTTGAGTGAATCCTAATGGAGCTACCTTATTGTGCTCTTTAGACTATAGTTAAAGGAGTTTTCTAGTAAGTGTATATCAGAATCTCAGTGTAAGATTTCTCTTTATCCTCAGTGTTCATTTTAATATTTGAAATAAATTAAGCCTAATTAATAAACTGTCTTAAACTATATCTATGTCTGGCAGCTTTTAGTGCTTTTGCAAATATTTAAAAGTAATTCCTTTAGGAATAATCACTTTATGCAGAATTTATACGTAATGATGCAAAAATACTGTAAGTTATAGTTCTCATTGAAATATAAGTGGAAAAATTATCGTGTCTTGTGCTAGTGAGTAAATGCACGCTTTAGCATTAAAGTAATGCAGTTGCATATATATGTTTGATGTGGCTGTATTTCAGCTAGCTGTTATAAGAAGACAAAAGACAAACTAAAATTGATTTGCTGTGTAAATAATGCAGATTATATTCTCTTTTCGTGTTTATTTTTTATTCTAAGAGTTGTTTAGCAGACTGTAAACTACTCCATCGAATACCTTATCAGTGTGCGATATCACTGTTTGCAGCATCAGCTTCCGCTTCCATGTATTGTTTTTGCATGCAGTATGAGGGCTCTGATAAACTCTTGAACTATTCTAGTAAGTAGATGAGAGCTTAACTGTCTGGGTAGTAAACATAGCTAAGCGTGGTTTCAACTAACTTGTGGAAATCTAGGGCAAAACATCCTTTCAGAATTTGGAATGTGTAAAAATGGTGCGTGTGGTTCAGTGTAATATGTATGCATACTCTTAGGCAGTTAGCTGTGTGCATATTCAAGTTGCTGTTCTCATTTACAGTTTGTAGGCATCTTGGGGCTGCTTTTTAAGCAGCTGTTCTGTGTTTCTGCACAGTGACTTCTGGGGCTTATAAGAATGAGAAGAAAAAAAAAAGGATCATAATTTAGTTCCTATGAAAGATATGCAGTTTTATGTGGTCCGGTTGAAAAAAATTTAAAAAACCCCAAGCAAATCAAAACCAAAGCCAGTTGATTTTTTTAATCATGATTTATCAGAGGATTCATTGAGGTAGAAGTACTTACTCTAGATCAACCTTTTTGAGATTTACAGTATTATGGTAATTTGAATTAACTAAACCTTTCAGTATGTTTCTGGAACTTCCTTAATTTATGCAAAAATGTTTGTAATTCTAAGAATCTCAGAACTTATAAGTCTTGCAAAGTATGAGATTGCATTTGTAGTATATTACTCTCCTGTTATAATAGATGTTAAACTGTTTTTATTTTAAATTTTTACACTTCAAACACTCTTCAGATTTGCAAAATCTGAAGTAACATTGTCTTAAAATACTTTTCCTCTCTTTAAAGGATACCTTGATTGTGTGGTCTGAAGCTGAAAATTATGATTTGGCACTTAGCTTTCAAGAAAAAGCAGGATGTGATGAAATATGGGAAAAAATATGTCAGGTAAGTTTGACAAGTCTAAGATTGAGACAACCTAAATCATCTTAATGTTTGTGTTCAGAATTTTTAGACTGTTCTAAGAGATGAATCTGAACACAGTGGATAGAAAGTGCAAACTATCATTGTAGCCACCTCCCCCAAATTCTACATTTGTTGAGTTTGAAAACTTTCTTCTTCCTCCAGAAATTTGTTACGAACTTAAAGTATGTTTGCAGTGGTTTTTTTTACAGTATTTTCAGGTCTTTTTAGCTCTATTAGTGCCCAAGAAACTTTAGCTCAAAAATGAGTGCTTAAAACGTTTCATAACAATTAATTTTGTAATTAAGTTTTCCCAGGATGGCCAAAAGGAAAAGGTTACCTGTCCACAGTTTTGCTGTAGACAGAAGACTGTATGTGAGCTATTAGTGAATTTTACAACATATTTCTCATAGACTTAACCATATCTTCTTCACATTTCTGTATCTACATTTCTCGTTCTCTTCCTCTTATCTCATTCTGCTGTTTCAGGTGAGGGCAATATTGAGTTTCTCAATAGAACTTTTCCGTGTAAGTATGACAGTATGCTTCTGTTGACTGTCAGGGTATGGAAGATTGATCTGATAGTTCCTCTGAAGTAAGAGATAGCTCTGTCCCTTCATTATCCCCTCAAAGCTATAGTTCTTGCAGTTTAAAGAAATGAACCTATTTATATATAGCATATATATATTTTAAAATGCACTAATTAACTCATTGTGGTTTACCACTATGACCACCTGACAATATAGTCACTGAATCAGTCTTGTTTCTGGATAACGTTTGGTTAGGTATTGACTGTTGGCCAATACCTGGAAGATTTTAGTCAATGTACTCAATTAATTTTGTCAGTTCTTGTTTAGGTTTTTTTTCTTCCATTCCAAGCATTACAACTTCTCTTAATTTCTATGATACATTAGGTGGCATTTCTCAAAATTTGTCTAATTCTCTCTTTATGGACTCTTCTGTTCTTAACAAACCTTGAGCTTGCTCCACTGTCTTTTGGACTTGTTCTCACTGATTTCAGAAAAAAGCAGAAGAAATCTGATTTTACAATTGCATGTGTATAGATGATTCATTTTTTTAGAATTTAAAATTAAATCAGGAAATAAGTACTACTTATGTAAATAAGTACAGAAATATTTCCAGGAACCTTAACCATCAAAAGACCGAAAGTTGGGGAAAGAAACAAATTGGGGGAAACTGTGTTCTTGGGAAACATGCAGATAAGAAGCCCTAGCTTCCTCAGCCTCATGTAAAGATCTAGCATTTTTGTAAGAACCAGTGTCTTTACATCCTGTTTTGAGGCCACGCTATTGTATTGTGTCTCGTGTACTTTAAAGCTTTTAACCTTCCTCAGTTGGAATCATAGAAGAGTTAAGGTTGGAAAGGACCAACGCCCCTCTAGTTCCAACCCCCCTGCCATGGGCATGGACACCTCACACTAAACCATGTCACCCAAGGCTATGTCCAACCTGGCCTTGAACACCACCAGGGATGGAGCATTCACAACTTCACTGGGCAACCCATTCCAGTGCCTCACCACCCTAACAGTAAAGAACTTCTTCCTTATATCCAATCTAAACTTCCTCTGTTTAAGTTTTAACCCATTACCCCTTGTCCTGTCACTACAGTCCCTAATGAAGAGAACCTCCCCAGCACCCCTATAGCCCCCCCTCAGATACTGGAAGGCTGCTATGAGGTCTCCACACAGCCTTCTCCAGGCTGAACAGCCCCAACTTTCTCAGGCTGTCTTCATACAGGAGGTGCTCCAGTCCCCTGATCATCCTCGTGGCCCTCCTCTGGACTTGTTCCAACAGTTCGATGTCCTTTATATGTTGAGGACACCAGAACTGCACACAATACTCCAGGCAGGGTCTCATGAGAGCAGAGTAGAGGGGCAGGATCACCTCCTTCGACCTGCTGGTCACGCTCCTTTTGATGCAGCCCAGGATACGGTTGGCTTTCTGGGCTGCAAGCGCACACTGCCTGCTCATGTTCATTTTCTCATCAACCACACCCCCAAGTCCTTCTCTGCAGGGCTGCTCTGAATCTCTTCTCTGCCCAACCTGTAGCTGTGCCTGGGATTGCTCTGACCCAGGTGTAGGACCTTGCACTTGCCATGGTTAAACTTCATGATGTTGGCATCAGTCCACCTCACAAGCGTGTCAAGGTCCCTCTGGATGGCATTCCTTCCCTCCAGCGTATCAACTGAACCACACAGCTTGGTGTCATCGGCAAACTTGATGAGGGCGCACTCAATCCCACTGTCCATGTCAGCGACAAAGTTGTTGAACAAGATCGGTCCCAGCACCGATCCCTGAGGGACACCACTCGTTACTGGTCTCCAGCAGGACATTGAGCCATTGACCACAACTCTTTACGTGCAGCCATCCAGCCAGTTCTTTATCCACCGAGTGGTCCATCCATCAAATTGATGTCTCTCCAATATAGAGACAAGGATGTTGTGTGGGACAGTGTTGAATGCTTTGCACAAGTCCAGGTAGATGACATCAATTGCTCTACCCCTTTCCATTAGTTCTGTTATCCATCCAAGGACGTCTCCTGACCCTCCTGCTGCACTTCCTTCTAGTTGGGATGCAGCACTCCCTAGCTTGTTGCAGGTGATCCTTGAATATCAACCAACAGTCCTGGGCCCCCGTGCCCTCTAGGGCTATATCTCATGGAACCTTACTAAGCAGGTTCCTGAAGAGGCCAAAATCTGTCCTCTTGAAGTCCAGGGTGGTGAGCTTGCTGCATGCTCTTCTCCTTGTCCTGAGGATCTCAAACTTGACCATCTCATGATCTCATCATCATTATTTAAGTTATTAAAGCTTCTTTTAAAAAGAAAACCTTGGTACCACTTGTACTGGAAGTGGTTGCTGATGTATAAGCAGAACAGTATGTGGAATTTGACAGCATTCTGGATTTCACTCTAAGTATAGGCTTGCTGTTATCCATGAAGATTTTCAAGATGAAAAAGAACTGTCTTCTACCAGTCTACATGGCAATGCTTTTCTGGATTTGACATTCCAGACACCAAGCAGATACTACTATAAAGATATCATTAAAGCTGAAACACTGGTGCCCAAGCATCTGTCTCTGTTTTCTTTCCTCACTAATTTGTTCTTTCCGCAGTCTTGGTGTATCTCTGGAGGGATCTTTGCAGGTTTTGTGTCTTGTTTTGCTGACGGCTCCAGATTTCCACTGCTGTTTCATTAATGTTTGTTTGGTGCTTTCTGTTCTTAAGAGGGGACGCTATGCCTCTCTTGAGTATTTAGAAAGCTCGCAGTAACGGATTTTGACTTGCAGCTCCCCAGCATTGAAAACAACAGATTAGCAAGACTGGCCTCTCTTGTCTGTTTGAGGTAGCAAAAGCTTTGAAAAGTATGAAGAGCACTTAAATAGCCTGTAGATAAATGTGTGAAGTTATAACTGCAATAATACCATACTGGTTTGCATTTGAAAATCTGTCTGCAGAGAATCATAGAATCGTTGCCTGTTTTGGGTTGGAAAGGACCTTCACATCATCTAGTTCCAGCCTCCCTCCCATGGGCAGGGACACCTCACATTAAACCATGTCACCCAAGGCTCTGTCCAACCTGGTCTTGAACACTGCCAGCAATGGAGCATTCACAACTTCACTGGGCAACCCATTCCAGTGCCTCACCACCCTCATAGTAGAGAACTTCTTCCTTATATCTAACCTGAGCTTCCCCTGTTGAAGTTTGAACCCATTACCCCTTGTCAGCTTGCTACAGTCCCTGAAGAAGGGTCTCTCTCCAGCATTCTTGTAGGCCCCCTCAGATACTGGAAGGCTGTTGTTACGAGGTCTCTGTGCAGCTTCTCCAGGCTGAACAGCCCTGCCTTCCTCAGCCTCTCTTCATACAGGAGGTGCTCCAGCTCCTTTATCATTCTCGTGGCCCTCCTCTGGAGTTGTCTCAACAGTTCCATGTCGTTCTTATGTTGAGGGCACCAGATCTGCACACAGTACTCCAAGTGGGATCTCACAAGAGAAGAGTAGAGGGGCAGTAGCCTGTTAGGAAGTTGTCCATACTAGTAATTATGAATTTCCTTTTTTATTTGGAATACTCGGGAAATACGGCTTTTCTCTTTATTCTCTCTCCTTTTTGTAGAAAATAAATAATTATCTCATGTAGAAATAATTTTGTTAAGCCTTCTGTTTGCAGAAATCTTTTCATTATCTCTTACTTTCCAAACCAGTTGTACTCAGTGTCAGACTTATGTTTGCACTTCTGTTTTGGCCATACCAAGAAAAAGTGTGTCATATTTGAAACGGTATTTTTATAAAAGCGTTCAGGTAGCAGTAAACATTAAACTCCCACTTTTTTGAGTGCATCTTGTTTTGTAGGTTCAAGGGAAAGACCCTTCTGTCGATATTACTCAGGACCTTGTCGATGAATCTGAGGAAGAGCGTTTTGATGACATGTCATCACCAGGTCTAGAATTGCCATCCTGTGAATTAAGCCGGCTAGAAGAAATTGCAGAACTTGTGGCATCTTCACTGCCTTCACCATTACGTCGTGAAAAACTCGCACTAGCACTGGAAAATGAGGGCTATATTAAGAAGCTCTTAGAAATCTTTCATGTGTGCGAAGACTTGGAGAACATTGAAGGACTACACCACTTATATGAAATTATCAAGGGAATTTTCCTTTTGAACAGAACTGCACTATTTGAAGTCATGTTTTCTGAGGAATGTATAATGGACGTAATTGGATGCCTAGAATATGATCCATCTTTATCACAGTCACGGAAACACAGGGAATTTCTGACTAAAACAGCAAAATTTAAAGAGGTGATACCTATATCTGATCCAGAGCTGAAGCAAAAAATACATCAGACATACAGAGTACAGTATATTCAAGATATGGTCCTACCCACTCCCTCAGTTTTTGAGGAGAATATGCTATCAACACTTCATTCTTTCATCTTTTTTAATAAAGTGGAAATAGTTGGTATGTTACAGGTAAGTTTCAGAATTTCACAGTCTCTTTATTTGTTATTTGTGCTTGTGCAGAGAAAGTTGGATAATTTTTCTTGGAAAGATTGAGATGCTTCAGTGGAACCTTCATTTCTGTGATTCCAAAAGTAATTTTGAAGTATGACATAAAAGGCATGGATTCAAGTACTGAGCTGTTAAGTATATGTTCTTAAATTTCAGATACTGGACTAGATTCTCTGTAACTGATCTAAATGGAGCAAAACATATGTGGAATCCTGAGTGAGGTGGTTTGGAATGAATAGTACTGTTTGCACCTTGCAGGTTTGATTTTTTGTAGGGGTTAGTGGGTTTTTTTCTGTATTTTGGGACTTTTCATGTGATGCAGTTAAGGATAATTTTTGTCATGCTACCATGACAAGAAAAAAAATACAAAATTACTTCACCCAGATTTCACAAATACAATCTCATACCAGGATAAAACTGTTTCTGATTTGGAAGTAAATTAAATCGGTTGTTTGGAAAGAACAGGTTCAGAACATAACATTGCTTTAGGTGCTTGAATGTTTTCTTAGTTTGTCTTTTAAGTCCCTAAATAATACTGCTTATAATTGCCAGGTTTTTGTGATGTTTGTCTTAATGCAAATGTAAAGAGTTTATATGATGATTATAGATACCTTGCTTACATGTCTTAAATATTCTGCACCAACCCATGAACTTCCCAAACTCCTCAGAAATAGGTGGAATGTCTGTAATAGGAGCTTCCTAACACTTTCAGCAAACTCAGCAAAGTGTTACAGCACATCCATTGTAGTTTGTTAATTGTCGCTATCTTAATTCTTCTAACATTTCGTAAATTCATAGCCACTGTCTTTGTAAGGGCTGTCTTATCTGGAGAAATGTGCGAAGTGCTAGATGTTACTGATGACCTTAATCATATTTATCTGATGACCTTAATCATATTTATCTAAAGTTGAATCTCAGCATACATCCTGTTCAATTTTACGGAATATACAGCAAAGGAGAGTGAGCTTTTACAAGCTCATAGCAAAACCTCCCAACCTTCCATCCACCACACTCATTTGATCAGAATACCGGTATTATTTAATCCGCTCTATTGGAGCTTTAATCTTTTATATCCACGCATGGAGTATTTGATAAGCATCCAGATGTGCATGATGTCACCCAGGCCTAGCAGCTGAGGCATGTGCCTTGTGGGCAGACCATTACTTCCAGCAGCAGCTGGTGGAAGGCTGGTAGAACATCAGGGGCCTCTTTGTTAGTACTAGACACCAGTTTGCACCCAGCTGAACCAAACTCTTCATGTCTGTATGTGTGTCCTTGATAAATAAAGTCCCAAATGTGAACCTGAAACAGTCAGAAGGCCTGAAGCATTTTGGAGTGGCCATTTTGAGAAAGCTTACAAGTCTGATGTTGCGAGTGCTGAATAATTCAGTTAAGGGATCTTAGCTTAAGTATCCAGTATGACCTGTGTCTCTAAAATATCTAGACCTCTTTGCAAGGGTTGCTAAAAGTAAAGTCCTGAGGATCATATATTTTAGCTTGAAGAGGAGGAATGGAAGAATTATTCAGGAGTGTTGGTGTTAGTGGCTGATTCTGAGAAGCTCTTGAAAAGGAAGCTGGGCAAGGAAAAAAGGGGACCTGGTGCTGCAAAATCATTAAGGGTGACTTGGGTAACTTGATTGAGTAGCTGATTAGTTTCCTCTTTTTCTTTCTCTTGCATCCTATGTTACGTTCATAGATGTAAGGAAAGCTTGGGTTAGAATATCAAGGATTGGTGCAGTTGAAAAACATTTTAGTTGCAGTTTACAGTTGAAACAGAGGCTCAGGTCTGATTTCGATTTGTTGTGTGACCGCAGGTTTCTGAGCATTATCTTCACTTCTGTTGCTGTTGTCTGTGGTTGAGAATAAAGTGTACTATGTGTGCGGTGGGGCCAGAATAGTTAGCAGTGCATGACTTTCAAAGTTAAGTAAATCCTTCAAATTGTTCAAGTGCTTTCTACAGTTCTGAGCAGCCACAAGTGGTAACACAGGAGGAGGAGCACATATTCTGTGTTACATTGCATTTCCTAGACCTTTCACAGTACAGCTGTATAGCATTGAGTGGTTACTCCCTGAGTTTATAAATAAGACGGTTGGAAATTATATCATATTCATGATCAGTTCTTGCTTTTGAGGGAATTAAAAGAGGCTATCACAAATTATACACCCATTGCATTTCAAAGAGATTAAATGGCTTGATCGATCAGTTGATAGATTGATTTTTCTAGTTCTGACAGTGTAGCTCTAAACCAAGGTTTAAGCCTACTTACCTGACATTTATTTATTGGTTCTATCATGGTATTTCAGTGGTGGGGGGTGTTATTTCATGAAAGATTTAAACTTGTCTCTGGAGTTTCTGGCATTCATTGTTTTAGATCTTGTGAAATCCCAACGCTCACTAACCTTACATGTGTACTTAAGAAGCTGGTGTTTTATAAATCGTTGTTGAGGAGTTTCTGGGATGCTTCCTGGTAGTTTGTTGAGACCCATGGATGAGTCTCAAGTTCTTAGTTGATGTGTAGTGCAGGTTAATGCTTCAGCTGTTGACCTTAGGTTGTCTCTCCTGGACCACTGAGAGGAGAGTGATCTCTTTAGGAAATTTTACCTCTCGGGTTAAAAGTAAAGTCCATGAGCAGCTGATACCCTGTGACATACTGCAGCTATTGTGTGTGCAACTGACTTGTTTTATATTCTGTTCTTTTCTCTCTTCCTGACTGTTAAGGAAAGGACAAGAAAAACTGTAACTTCCACCAGGACAAAACAGAGAAGCTCTACAGAGCCCTTCTCATGTCAGGCTGTATATTAACTAAAATGGCACACTGCACTTCCCTCATTTCAAATGAACTGAGCCATACCTTAGTTACAGAGAAGCGACTAGAAATTTGTACAAGCCTCTGTGTAGGTTCTGCCTTATGCTTTTTGACAGGCCAGGTGACTTTCCTCAAAATTACCACTGTGTCTTATTTAAGGTGTTTGATGTCAGCATAGGACATGTAAGGTCAATTTTTCAGATAACTAGTGAATTCTGTAAATAAGAACATGCAGATTCTTAAGAATTGTGGCTTTTTTAGGGATTTTGGACATCTTGGGAAAAAAAAAATACATCTGCAGTCATGGAGGATACCTGCTTCCATGATTTTGCTTCCTTTGGTAGGTAAATAACTTCTGGCTGTTCTCTGGTAAAACAATAAAAATAGGGAAAGGAGCGCCTTTGGCATTTAGGGTTATGAACTGTATTCCTCTCTCCTTTACGAAGGTTAGCTTTTCCCATAATCTTTATGTAAATGTTTACACTGATGGGCTGTTATAAGAAACTGAGGTTAGTTTATTTGTGATTTAATTGTCTAAGATCTGTAATTTTAAGTAACTATGTGGAGATCTCACTAAACTAGATAACTGTTGTTCATGATGGATAGTAAGCCCGGTATTTCCAGTCTATAGAATTAACTGCTCTGGAAACCTCTGCAATTACAGGTTTTGTGATTCGCTGTACATGAGATACGAAAGAGGTATATAACATTTTTTTCCAATTTCAGCCCCTCCTAATATGCTCTTACTGCTTGGCGTCCAGCCTGTTCTAGTCTTGAGATGTCATAGCCACCAAGAAACCTCTCTGAAACATGGAGTTCGCCAAGTTTTGAGAGTGGGGGTGGGACAGGTAAGTGGTGTTTCTTACTTTATATGACGCTCTTTTGCAATAAAAAAAATATACAGTAATGTTCACACTGGAGGCCACCAGTTCTTTCCCTTTGTATTATTAACTAGTTCTTAAAAAAAAAAAAAAACAAAAAAAAAAACTTGCAAAACTGCGCCATAGAGTGAGCAAACACTGTTTCCTTCTGTTCTATTCCCCCTTTCTCATTGGCGTGCTCTTTTTGCTAGCAAGGTCCTGCAGTGTTTTACTTATCCACAGTACAGAATATTGTTAGGATTACTTTGGGGTATGTGCTTTTAGACTTATATTCAGAGTCTTTTGTTTTGAGGAAAGTCAAGAGTACAATGGGAACATTGGACATATGTTAAAATAAATCATGTGCCTACGAAAGCAGTGATCACATGGCATTACTGCACTGGTAAATTAGCATTTTTAAATACATTTTGCTGTTAGTCCCTATATCCCTTTTTAATAGCTAATAGCTAAAAAATTGTAGGCATTAAAGTACACTTAGGTATATACATTTAGGTATATTTTGCTGGATTTATATATAACAACAGGCTGATTATGATTTTGAAAGTGGTTTTACAGGTAGTTACTAATTCTTTACAGAACTCCGTGGATGCAAGTATAATTATCTGTAGTTGTTTTAGAGACAGAATTGTGTCAGTGCATGTGGGTAGCTTTACACAAATGTATTAGGACTGGAATGTCTTCTGCCAGTCTGCTGTTTTGTAGTTGGCTCAGGAGTAACTCTGGAGATCCACTCCCAGCAAAATTTACCTTGCAAGTAAGGTGTAAAAGGATGCCACTTTCTGGGGAAAATGACAGTGAAAGAAGTTTGGAAGTGGTGCATGCTAATGATTTCTGAGATTAACTTCTATATTTTACAAAATTATTGTCACTGTCTACAGAAACTCCAAACGTGATAAATGGATCCTATTGCTGTTTCAGCATGCTGTTTCAAGTGTAAATAGCGTATTGATAGCAAATGAAGGCATATGTGGGAAGGTAGTCTGAGATAAAGGAGACTGAAACATTTTTTAAACTATAAAATCCTCTGTTGTGGCAGCAGGAAGGAATGTATGTTTGAAGCTGTAATTCTGTTTGCTGGTAACATTTTATGAAACTTCCTTGAGCTGAAATATTGTTTCTGCCTAAGATTGAATATGGAGGTAGAAAACAGCATGGAAAGTGTACTGTTTCCCAGCTCAGGTGTCACAGAGCTTCTTGAAAGTTTTTTTGAGTAAGGCATATTTTCTGCCATTTATCTGTAATCACAGGCATGAAGGATCTGATAAGTGCAAGTTAATTATATTTAGGAAAGGCCTGCTTTTGAAGAATGCCTTTTTAAATGCCTACTAGTAGGAGGGGGAGGACTGCTTTGAAAGTTGAATCACACATATAAATAGTGTCTTTTTTTGTGATCCTACTTTGTGGGTTTTCTTGTTTTTAAAGTCATACATGATTGAGTGCATAGATAGCCTGACTTAATTTTATCTTCATGAACTTTGAAATATGTTAAATCCAAGGAGCATCTACTTGGATTTTGCAGAAGCATAAATGAATACACTTAGTATTTGGCATATGCATAGTTTAAGTATTGCACATTTAATTAATTTCTGTGCATGGGGAAAATACCTATTCTATAATTGCCTCATAAACTGTCGTTTGCAGTTTTATTTTCTTAGAAGCAGTTGTGACTTTCACGGCTTCCAAATGGATTTTAGTGCTTGTCTGCACGAAGGGGCCAGATACTACAAAGAATTATGCATTTATGCTATGTTCACTTCACAGCTGTATTTTGGGGGATTTTTTCAAGTTGGAAAACACCCCAAATGGGAAACACTTAAGCTTGTGGAATTTTAGCATTTGGTGTTGGTGCTTTGTGACTTCTAATATATGCAGACTCTGCTTTAAGACTTTGCATTTCCGTAGGTTCTGGTAGTGTTGTCCAGGAATGTATCTGTAGGTATTTTGCCCATGTCAGTAATTTTACACCCTGAGAGAGAGAATCTTGTATTTAGAGTGTCCACTGCAATCACAGTTTTCTATAATATAGGCGTGTTGGGAGTTTTCCCATCAATAACAACCTGTCTACCTTTCCTTAAGCATCCTGGAATGAGACAGCGCCTAAAACACATTTCAGGGCTGAGACCTAACTGCAAAGTTAGTAACAGGTTGGGTTTGTTGTTTTTTTTTGTTGGAATAACTGCCATTTACTGCATGTTATCCATGTAAGAATGGGATGTTTCAAATCACTCAGATTCATCTTAATTTTTCCGATTTTAAACTTCTGAATAGAATCCATGGTGTTAGAAAGTCCCCTCTACAAGTCCCAGATGTTTGTCAGCCCAGTAACAGGGTGAGCGGGTTGGTCTCTCCTGTAGGTGGCGTACTGAACCAGGCAGGAACCTGATGACCTGTCAGAGAGCAGCTGGGGTCCTGCCCAGCAAGGCCCTGCCTGTCGGGCTCTGCTGTTAGTGCTGGAGGTGCAGCTTCCCTGGCCGCCGCTGTCTCTGAGGCTCCACAGTGGGTCACAAGTGAGATTCCTCATGTCACCAGCACCACAGGGTCTCCTCCTCTCCTTCCACACTTAAAACAAAAAAAACAAAACAAAAACCCCAACTTTGGGTAGTATTGTGTACCCTTTTTTATGCAGAAGCACACTAATCTTGACTCTGATATACTGAAATGCTGAAATTTCCACTATTATTTCCTAATGATCATTCTAAGATATTTCTGTGGTATTGGCTTGCAGTTACTGTCAAGTATTATGAAGGAACTAAAAAGTTCATTTCACAGTGAGACTGGAAATGTAGGGGTTACACTTTTTCAGTTTGGATAAGCATGCATCTTCTCAATAGATTTGATAAGAGACGAGATTAGTTCTACATCTACATTAGCAAAAAGACAAATGAAAGCAAACTACTTAGCCTGTTCTTAAATACACTGCTAATCATGGAGAATAACTTGCATGCTCTTCAAAAAAATCATTTATTTTTTATATTTTTATGCTTATTGTGGTTTTTTTTTTAATTTCAGTAAAAAAATGTTGATAGGTGTACTGTGGGTTTGTCATGCTACCTGTAATGTCTAATGAGTTAGATATTATAATAGAAATCTTACCAAGCCATGTTACAGCTGGATGGCAGGTAGCCAGACATCCTTGTATTCTTTCGTCACGGCTGAAGTTACGTTTCTTGAAGTCTAAGACCTTAATAGTTGTTCAGAACGTGTTTGGCTGTTGAAATCTGAAAGTCAAACTTTGCATTTTCAGTACTTGTTCCTCCAGAGTGAATTTCAGTAAACTTCAAATGAAGCCTGTCCTATCTCATTTTGATTTTGAAGCAGCCACAGAAATAGCACCTGAAATTGCGTGCAGAAATGATTCTTCTTTATTATCAGTAAACTGTTGGGTCAGGTTGGAAGCACAGCACAGCATCAAACAAGAGGAAACAGGTGGCATATCCCAAATACAGGGTTTGCCTTGCATTGTGGTTAAATGCCTTGTAGGGTGGTAACTCATGCAACCTATTTTGGGTTTATCTGTGTTATGCAGTGCTATGTAGAGATCCTGGACTGGGTTGTGACAGTGTTATAGCTGCATTAGTGTGGCGTGCTATTGGAACTTGTACTCATTTTCTCAACAGGGCTGCAAAGTGACCCTGGGTGAGGTACCTAGATAATCTGTAGTTTCAGAAACTTTATGTGGATGTATCTGAAGTACTGTCATGATTCTGCTTTATGCTGTGTAAACATAAGCGAGGTAGTTTGATTTTCTAGCACTGTGGTTTTAGGGTGGAGGGATATTGCACGTGGTGTCACTTGACTTCACAAGAAATAACACTGGCAGCTTTTTGAAAAAAATCTGTTCCTATCTGATGTACAAGCAGCTTTTTCAAGTGAGTGCTGTCTTGTAACTCTAATATTGGGGAAAGGATGGGGAAGATTTGTTTCCATTTTAATGATTATGTAGTTGTTAGGACTGTGATGGTTATGAGAAACTACATATTGCTGCTTTTTCGGTCTAAATACACGTTTGTAATGTGTTGTCTGCTGTTTGTAGTTTTGCTAAGGTACAGCAGCATGAAAAATAATGGAACATTTCTTGATTGCTGCCACCCAGAATGCTCAGTAGATGCTGTACATAATAGAAACACTTTGATTTGGTTTCTGAAGTTCACCCGTCTCACAACGTTGGGGAGAAAGAATCTTGCCTCCTTCCTGCTGTTAGGAAACTCTCTTTGTTGTGTCTTTGTCTCCTGCAAAGATCTCAAGGTTCCAAAGATACATGTATGTGTAGGGCCAAGTGGGAGGTCATATTTATAAATACATGTAAACGGTTGAAGCAAGGGTATTGTAGTGTGGTTTGGGGGACAGGCATGTGACAAGGGGGAAGTTAGTTAGAAAAGTCATGAACAAATTGATGAGATTGGCAGTAAAATTAGAAAATGGACAGGCAAAGGCAATACAAGATACGTCGTAACTGAGAGTGAAGTGTTGGGGTTGGAGTGGTGTTGAACATCATAAAAGCACAAAACCAAGATTGATACTAATTTGTTTGAAATTTGAGTTAGAAAGTTGATACTGGTGTGATTAACTACAGTACACAAGTGTATATTCTCTCAAGTTACATGAAGCATGGTTTAGAAGAACTTTATGTTATACTTGGATCTTTTTTGGTACTGTCAAATAAACAAATGGTATTGTTTTGCCTTTGTAGGAAGATGAAAAATTTCTGACAGACTTGTTTGCACAGCTAACAGATGAAGCCACAGATGAGGAGAAAAGACAGGAATTGGTAAGAAATATGTAAAACATACATGAAAGGGACAGTTACTACAAAGTGAGGCATGCATCTGTTTTTTTAATTACTAACTAGTGCATTATTCATGTTTTTCAGGTAAACTTTCTGAAAGAGTTTTGTGCATTCTCTCAAACACTGCAACCTCAAAACAGAGATGCATTTTTCAAAACCTTGTCAAATATGGGCATACTGCCAGCACTAGAAGTTATATTGGTAAGTCAGTTCCATTTTATTTGTGGTAACAATTTTATGTATGTGCAGAGAGGTTGTTTTAAAAAAACAAGTATGCCAAACTTCAGACATGCGGTTTTCTGAAGTGTTTGCTTCATTCTCTTGTCTTAGCTTGGGTTAAAATATTTTTGTAAAACTTTAAAGCCAGTTGCAGTATGACATTGGTAAGTGCCCTGGCATTCTTATGTTTTTGTTTTCTTGCTCACTTTACATCTTTATATGCTCTTTGGTGTACTATTAAGTTAGAAAATAGGGAAATAGATCAAAGAGCAAGGAAAACATAAAACATATTTTTCCCAACAGTTGTCAAATGTACAAAGAAGAGGTTATAGTCAATACAGGTTTAGAATACAGTTTTAGTAATAGTTAGGTATGACTTGTAAGTAGGAATTAAAAGCTGTATGCTTTGTGTTTTTCATTGCATTTAAGCCTTTTCTTTAAAGGAAACATAAATGATTTTATTTGACTTCTCCAGGGGATGGATGATGCACAAGTACGAAGTGCAGCCACTGATATATTCTCATATTTGGTTGAATACAACCCATCCATGGTACGAGAGTTCGTCATGCAGGAAGCGCAGCAGAATGATGATGTAAGTAGAGGGTCCCTAGAAATGTGTGTATTGTTTTTGAAATTATTATTTTATATTTACAGCTCTGTTAAGGACCTGAACACTAGTTCTGAAAAAATATGCAATATAGTCATGATGGTTACAGGACACTGAACTGCCATGTTTTTAACAGTTCTGTTTGGTGAGATGAATGCTTGCCTGTTTACATATTCTTGTTCCTTAAAACACGTTACCATAAACCACCATTTTGGTTAACCTAGCTGTCACACAAGCAGTGCAGAATGGTTGTGAATGATGGCCTCCTTAAAATGCAAAATATAAATTTCAGTCTTGATCTTAGCATACACATGTGTTTTTAATTTACTTGTGAGAAACCTGTGTTTCATTTACTGTCTCACTTGTTGCAAGTGGAATGATGGTCCTGAGTGTTCAAAATCACATTTCAACAGGGGTTTACATTTCCCAGAGATCCTCTCTAGCTGATAGATACAAAAGGCAGCACACAACTAGTAGCAAGAAGGGTATTCAGTGGAGAAAAAAATGTTGTGCTGCCTTTTCACTAGAGGAGATAGTTAATGTCGTTTCTCCTATCTGTTAAAAACATGCCAGAGAACAGGAAGCTGCTGGTGCTGCTACTTCTGTACTGAAAGAAAGGGCCAGCTGGGACAGGGAATATTGCTGGTCTTTCCAGCTACTTGGATCTGATGACTGTCTTCTTTCATGGGGGACGGTGGTAACCAAGCAATTTTAGTGTAGGGATTCCTAAATATAAATATTATTTTCTACTTTTATGTGTATTTCTTGATTTTTGCTAATACATGTTGGGGTTATTTTTAGGTGAAAATAATCTCATCAAGTTCAATAGCATTATAAAATGTACTGTTGTATGTTTGTAGAAGTAAAATTCTTGGTATTCTAAAGGGGGAGAGGAAGGGATGTGCAAATAAAAGCTGTGCTCTGAAAACACTTCCAGAAATCAGTTGTGTTTTGAGACTGTTCATTACCTGTCTCTACTTTTTACCTTTTGACATTTCAGTTCAGACTGAATTCAAAATTAGATTGTTAATTTCAGAACCATTTTTAGTTGCTTTGACAGATTCTTCAGTGCTTGCCTTCTTAATGTTGAACAACTGACCAGGATGCATCAGTAGCCTGTAAAGTTAAATTGTTTCTGTTAAGTTTGGATTTTTTTGTTTGGTAGTTGTTTACATCTTGCAGAATTTTGATAGAGCACCATTTGAACCAGGCGCTAACCCTTTTGGAAGATAATTTGGATTTGGTGCAAGGGAGGAACATTAGAACTGATTTTTGCATTTTTTTTTCCTGCCCTGTTAGGATATATTACTCATCAACCTCATTATAGAACATATGATTTGTGACACAGATCCAGAACTCGGAGGGGCAGTGCTACTAATGGGTTTGCTTCGTACTTTAGTTGATCCAGAAAATATGCTTGCCACTGCCAATGTAAGTAAACACCTTAAAGTGAAATTACATTTGGTTTTTAGATTATTGGTGATATGTGTTACACAGATACATATTTTTTTCCCATTCTTTAGAAAACAGAAAAGACAGAGTTCTTGGGTTTCTTCTACAAACATTGTATGCATGTTCTGACAGCGCCTTTACTGGCCAATACTACAGAGGACAAGCCTAGCAAAGGTAATGCTGCTCTGGATTTTGAACATATCAAGGCTGTTGAATGTCAATGTTTAAAATAAAGTAACTGTCAAAGGATGTTTTCTGTTTTAAAGAGTATCTGAGTCTGTGATAGATAGTTCAAAGTAAAATGTTGATTCATTATTTAGTCATTTGCATAATTTATAAAATTCAGCAGAGACATGATTTAAGAAATGAATTGCATTTGCTGCAGATTTTGTTTCTGCAAAAAATGAAATCCTGTATAATTTTTAGTAACTCAGAGGGCTGTTCAGTGGCAGACTTGTAAACATGTAAAAGTTTTATAAGGTCAGGAATTGCTAGAGAGGATGCAGAATTGCCGCTGAGAAGGTGTGTATCGCAGTACTGTGCTGAATTTGAGGGTATTTTTTCTAAATCAGTCAGAAAGCGGAGATCAGTGATGAAGTAACTGTTCGTACTGGCTACTAGCAGCAGTACTGTTTGTTAATTGTATAGCACATCCAAAATGGATGTAAAAGGAGGTACATAAATGATACATAAATGTTCTCTGAACTTCTTAATTAATTGTATGGATTTCCAAGGGATTAGTTAAATTAATCTATTTTATCTTGACTGTCATCCAGATAGATTGAAGGTGAGATTTTTATTATTTAAATTGCTTCTGTTCTTTAATGGTCGACTGTCTGGCAATACTTTTAAAAGGTAGAACTACATTTTTTTAAAAAAGGTATTAAATCTAATATTTAACTTACTATTTTTGTACTTACAAGCAGGATTAATGTTTTGTATATGCTGATATGGTTGTCCTAGAAGTATTAAAAGATGCTGAGATTCTTCTTGTTAAAAGAGATAATAGATCATATTTTTGGTGCAGATGTAGGCAAGGCACTGCATATAGGGCACTACTTTATGATATAGACATACAGACATCATAATAAGATTTGGTAAAAGCCTGATGCTTGTGTTACTGTTACATTCTGTCCTCTCTAAACCTTCAAACACTGAGTTAAAAAAAAATGTAATTGTTTCTGTAATTTAAGAGGGTTTCCTGCCATATATATATATATAAAAATAGAAAATACTTTGTTCATAAGAAGATTGTTCAGTTTCTGTTTTAAAGACTAAACATATCCTGCGGCATGTTTCCTAAACTGTCTGTGGGAATACAGAAGAACTTGTAAATGTTTACCAGACTGCAGCTGGATATTTGAAGTTAGCTTCTGAAGGCAATATCCTTGGTACGCTTAATGATTTTGGTTTTGGTTTTATTATAGATGATTTTCAGACAGCCCAACTCTTGGCATTAATACTGGAATTGCTAACTTTCTGTGTAGAACATCATACTTATCACATAAAGAACTACATCATAAACAAAGATATCCTGCGAAGGGTACTCGTTCTCATGGCCTCAAAGCATGCTTTCTTGGCATTGTGTAAGTTGGAAACCTGAAGAATAAACTAGTACTTTGTGAACGTGAAGTGTTGCATGTCGTCATTCTGCTGGAAGTAAACTGTTCACAGATGATGACATTTTGTGACTGAATACACGAATTCTGTTATACTCTGTGTTACTCATACCAATTTCTAGCTATGTCAGTAGTATTTGTGAATAGTTTTGAATTTATAGATGCTTTTTTTTTCCTAAAAAGCAGAAGGATTTTTCTTAATCTCAGTCTAGAGGTGAATTTAAAAGATGGTATCTCAATATTGAATATACTGATAGCCGTTGTAACTTTTGACATTTTTTTAGTAGAAATTATCAGAGGTATTTGATTAAACAGATCTGTAATTTGGAGTGCATTAAACAGCACAAAAGCTCTCTGTGCTGCTCTTCAGACTCTAGTAACCATTTTAATAACCATGCTCAGCACAGTAATAATAAAACAGTGTGACTTTATTCTGGAGGCAAGTAAGAGATTTTTTCCATAATTCCATTGTGCACATAGAGTAAAACAAAGCCTAAAATTGACTGAGCAGTACCATACAATAAGAAATGACCTTTTAAATTTGTAAGTGAATCGCCTGAGTTAGGTTTTAGAACCTTTGAATAATCTTTTTTCATTTACATCTAGTTGCTAACCAAAATGTGATGCCTCGTATCGAGTTGAAACTCTACTTTCTATTTATACATGGACATTCACATACTTGTGTACACTTTGGAGTTTCAGAAAGAGCTTTAAACTGCATGTAAATAAAGTCTTCGCTTTACTATATGTGTGAAGAAAATGTCATTTGCTCTTTTCAAAATGAGATAGTTTGTATCCTAATCAAATAAGGACTCAATTAAATGTAATTGAACTTTTACAATAAGTAAATTAAATAAATGGCAATTTAATAAGCAAATGTTCTAATTCTTCTGAGAAAATATTTTGCCTTTGTCATAAGTAATTTAAAAAAGCAAAAATACACCTTTACATTAGAATAATTAAACAGTAGTATAATACTTCTTCAGTGAACAGAGGTGGCTTCACTCCTACAATTATGATGAAGGGTTTCTTTATGATAAAATAGATAAGTAATCCTCAGCAGTATAGTCAAGACTGTTGAGAAGAAGAGAATAACTGAATGTATTACCTGGTTCTAGTAATTTAATGCTGTGTAAGAACTGAGGTTGCATATTGTCCTGAGTAATGCTGAATAATTTCTAGGTTTTTTTTTTTCAATTTAAAAAATATTTTGGTACCACTTCTGTTTCAGGTGCCCTTCGTTTCAAAAGAAAGATAATTGGGCTAAAGGATGAATTCTACAACCGTTACATAATGAAAAGTTTTTTATTTGAACCTGTGGTCAAAGCATTTCTAAATAATGGTTCCCGTTATAATCTGATGAACTCTGCCATAATAGAGATGTTTGAATTTATCAGAGTGGTGAGTGCTGTTACATGATGAAGACAATTACTATATTGTTTAATCTTGTCATTCAAGATGACTTTTCTTTTTACTTGTACCCTAAATTATGCTATCATAATGGGACTGTATGATACTGTATTTAAATCAGCTTTCTTTTGTATCACTGTTACATATTTGTACATGTACTTTCTTATGTTCAAACAGTACTGTGACTTGATAGTTAAATTCACTCAATAGTGTGTATTCGCAGGTGTGCAAATCATGCAGATTGGATGGGCCTGTTATCACAGGAATGTAATTTAAAACTACTGCTACAAAACCATCCAATTTAGCTGTGCTCTATAACATCAACTCAACTAAATATGGAGACATATGGAAAAAATACCAGTCTTTTTTGATTATATTAGTAGAGTGCTGCCAAGTTCTTTCAGTGGGGAGTCTGCTAAAATATTCATGCCAGTTTGGCTGTCAGCACAGTACTTTTTCCTCACTGTTGTCTGCATCCAGATTCTGGCAAGGTGCTGTACAGACCCTAAATGTGGTAAGCAGGGCTAAGCTAGGGTGCAGTCAGTCATGGAGGAGTAAGTGGGTGAGGAAAAAAGGAGGCTTGGTCACCTCTTGAAATCTTTTGTGCTAATGACCTCTTTTCTCTTGGAGCTGAGACTCAGGGTGATTCAGGACTGAGATGACCTGATCATCATGGAAGAGTTTTGTAGCAGTGAAAAAAGTTAATCCATATGGATGGTCCTGACTTCTGTGCTGTGGTCTTTCAGTACTCCGTGAGATTTGGTGCTGATTCTGCAGTTCATGCTATGAGGAAATAAATTGTCTTTTATTTTGTTATCTCCCTTTTCACATAGATCCCCAGGTCACATTTCCAAAATAGTTCTTGGTATCTGTAAATTTTGTAATATTTTTTTTAATTCATTTTTTTTATAAGGAGAGCAAATTTTTAAAAAGTGTGCTTTTATTGTTACTAATGTATAACCATTCATAAGAAGAGACCTTTGAGCGCCTAACCAAAAAGAAAAACAATCAGTGTATTAAGATTCATGTTTCTTTGCTTGTCCTTATTAGCTGGTAATTAAGGTGTTTATTCTGAGGTGTATTCCAGGGGCTGTGCTGTGCTAAGAAAGCCAAACAATGCCTAGGAGCAGTTTCCCTGCTGCAGTATGCAGACCTGTGCTAGTTTCAGCTGCCTAGAGTGGCTTTGGGCAGCCACAACCCTAAACCGAAATAACAGAACCATTGGGAGGGTTTTGTAAAGAACCTTGGCCAGCACCGTATGGCCACAGAGGAGAAACTTCATGCTATTTCCTGATGAAAAATACCTTCCTTGTTCTCATCCTAAACAAATACATCGAATAATTATTTTACATCATTTATTTGCAGTGAGGAAAGAAATAATATGAATACTACATATGTATCTCATAAGTATATTTTTAATTGAATTATGACAACAGATATCAGTGATTGATATAATTCTAAAAATATTTACAAGTTACAGTGGTAAAGACCTTTTAGAGTTGGTTTTGGTATAATTTTCTATTGGGGTTTTAGGTTCTGTTCATGAGTTTGGAAGGAGATACTACTAGAAAATTGCTGCTATTATGCCTGTTAGCTGATCAGGTATTTGAAGCTCTAGATTTTTAACTACACTTGTACTCATTTTTGCATAAGCTAGTTAATATGCTACTTCCTTTGTAATGTCTAAAATCATCTCTCATTTCAGTTACTTTTTATATTTTATTAAATAAAGTAATTTGAATTTAAATAAGGCACTTTATGGTTGTTCATTCCTATAGGAAGATATAAAATCGTTAACGGCTCATGTAATTGAAAATTACTGGAAGGCACTGGAAGATGTAGACTATGTGCAGACATTCAAAGGACTGAAACTACGATTTGAGCAACAAAGGGAAAGACAAGATAATCCAAAACTTGACAGGTAAAATGCACTAAATACTCTTATTAGTATATTAGTGTTATAACTCTTTAATATTGGTCAGTTGTTCTGCAATAATAGGAAATTAAATAATTTAGACTCCTGCTTGCATCTTGCGCATTGTTGAATTCACCTGATTAAAAGTGTGATTCCCAGATGTGTTGCTTCAAACTCTTGGATCGGCTTTCAGCTAACATTAGCTGCTGGACCCTCAGGAATAATGCTAAGTTTTCATATCCTAAACTTAATGTACACCATTGCAATGAGGCTGGAAGCCTATCAGGTATTGGGAATTCATTTGCTTAAATAATTAATTTCCATTGTTTAATGTGAAAGATTGTTCAGTTCTGAATTATCATTCAGTGGATTTTTCCTCAAAAAATTCACATCATATTTTCTTTTGTTTTAGGTAGCTGTGGGAGTAGCTATTTCAAGCTCTACCAAAATGACTGAGAAATAGAATATACAAAGAAATTCTCAGAGGATGCTTTTTTTATCACTGTTAGATTTGCTGATGGAGTAAAACCCAATCTGATGTAACACTTGAATCACTTCTGTTTGCCAGAGCAGAAGTTCCCTTCCTTAGTACACAGCAGTTACCAAAGTTTAAAAGGTTAGGGTGTATAAAAATAGGAAGTTTAAGACTTTTTACTCCCATTTGTTTTTGGCAAATGATACTACTTTTGTATGTCATTTCATTAAAACAAAACGGACTGTTTGCATGAATTAGATGAGTTAATCTTCAGAATTGTTAGCAAGACCTGTTCTTGTTGTCTTGAAGTAGTTTGAAAACACATTACAAAAGTAATCCTGATCAGTCATACAAGGACATCTTGAAATTTCAGACTTCTGAGTTATTTCCTGCCACAAGATTTCTTAACCAGCATTTAAATGTGAGACGTACTGCACAATTAAAATCAGAGTATAATCACAGGTTGGGCACATTAAAGGGTATGCATTAGATCTGCAATTTTGAGTACTAATGTTTTACACTTGAGACATTGTTATTTTGTCTTCTGTCAGCTAAGCTTATCACTTACCTGTTAAATTCAGTATAATGGTTACATTAATGCACGTGTTGGAAAGGACACCCAACTACGTCCTTCAGTAATTTCCATCCAGTTTAGGAAGTAAAACATTAGTCTTAGCTTGGCTTAAGTTGAGCTAAGTGATTTGTGTATAGTTGTATGAGTTTGCATGAGTTTGTCCAACAGAAAATTACAGCTTCAAGAGCTTTGTAGCTCAACCAGCCCAGTTTTTGCCTTCTTCCTACACATCTTGTTTAGTGGCTGCACAAGCCCTGTCACAGTCCACATAATTTCTGGAGTGAAAACCCAGAAATAATAAAATGCAAAGATAGCAAGAATCTGTTCACATACTCTAGTAAAGAATAGCTCAGTAAGGGAGGAGGCCAAAAATTTTGTTGATGTGGGCCACAAAAGTGTTTGTAAGAGTGCCACTTAAGTGTAGTTTTTCACTATTAACAGAACTTGAATTTAAATGCAGTGTCAAATCATGCAGTATGTATACATCCAGATGATCATTTTGGCAAGCAGGTTATTCAGAATTAGATTTATTTTTAAAAGTACGTTTAGCGTTCTCTTTTGATACCTTGTAATTTCCTGATTTTTCCCTTCTGGCTTTTTCCTGCAGTCAGTACTGCAAGATTTTTTCCATGAACAGAATAAACCTAGATTGTATTATTAAAATTTTAATTCCAGTAACAGAGACTTAATGATAAACATTCAATCTCAGACTTACATTGTGGCCAGTAAATTTTGAAGAAGCACTACAGGAAATTTGTCAAAGGTCTCAGGCTTTTGTTGAAAATTGACTGTTAGAATCAACATCTGGCAATGATTCTGTGTTCTTCAGGGTGCACATCACTGTCCCTCTTCTCCAAGGCCGTAATACTGCTTCTGTGAGAGCAAAAGGAAGGTGGAGCTGAGATAGATCAACACTGATAATAGATCAAATGGGGAGGGACAGGTAGCACTTTGTATCCAGGGCTGTGAAGAATGGAAAATGCTGATAGTGACCAAAAGTTGTAAGAAGTGGATGTGGCAGGAAGAGATAGCTGTCTTTTTAGTGTATCTGGTTTAAACTGGAGTTATATTCAAGTTAGACTGGCAGAGGAGGAGGTTGTGTGCTGGTTTTTTTTTCCTTTTTTCTTAAACACATTGGACCCTAGATACTGATGAGTTATAAAGTATTTTCAAGAAGAAAAAAAATTAAAAACCTATAGTTTCCAGACTCTTTGGTTTGCAGCTTTTTATTTACCTGTGTAAACTGTTAATCCAAGACTGAGTGCAACACAGTTTTGGACAGAGTAGTCTGAATGTGCTATGAGCAGAATCGTACTTTATTTGATTCTTTATAAATAATGTTTTTAATGATTTTTGCATTGAAAATACAAATACATTACAGATTGATTTGCTGGTATTTTTATTGTTCTCTAATACTAGTATCTGTAAGCTGTCACTGTAAATATTGAGTAGAAGTTTTATTATTAATATGAGTTGGGTTTTGAATCAGAAATTTTAAACTTACTGTTCGGCAGCATGCGGTCCATTTTGAGAAACCATAGATACAGAAGGGATGCAAGAACCCTGGAGGATGAGGAGGAAATGTGGTTTAATACTGATGAAGATGATATGGAAGATGGAGAGGCAGTGGTGCCCCCTTCTGACAAAACTAAAAATGATGAAGATATTATAGACCCTATCAGTAAATTCATGGAAAGGAAAAAATGTAAGTGATGAGAAGAGTAATACCATATGGCTCATGCAGAAGCTATAACTTGTATTCTGGAGTCCTACTGCACTGAAGGTTTTGCATATATTTATTCTGCAATTCTTAGATTTTGCAATTGTGACACCAAGTTGTTGGACCACCCCTTCAAAACAGGTTTTGTTGTCTTTAAAAGAGACATAATACAAAAATACTGTTACAGATTTCTTTAAGCATTTGAAAGGCAATCTTAGCTGATAGTCAAGTTTTCCTGTGTTTTATTCAGGTTTATAATTCAAAATTTTCTATGTAGATGTTCAGGTGATTTCATTGGCAGAATAAAAGTGTCCATTCCTGGCCAATGACAACGACTGGTAGCTAGTATAGTAGTATGAGAAAAATAAGTCTATGATTACTCACTTTACCAAGTAGTACATAAAGTGCTAAGCCTTCTCCCACACAGTAAAGTGATTTGTAATTAATTATTTTGCTAAATAATACTGCTCTACTTTTGCACTTTTTTGTGTTTATTTTTTTCTCTCCAGTAAAAGAGAGTGAAGAAAAGGAAGTTCTTCTGAAAACTAACCTTTCAGGTCGTCAGAGCCCAAGTTTCAAGCTTTCCTTTTCCAGTGGTACAAAATCTAACCTTACCAGCCAGTCATCTGCAAGTAATCTGCCTGGGTCCCCAGGGTCACCTGGGTCCCCAGGGTCGCCTGGATCTCCAGGATCAGTTTCTAAAAGCACATCTCAGATGGCAGCTATCACAACTAAGGTAATTCTGAATGGACGTAGATTGAATTAATTGTTACAGACTAGGGATTTGCTTTATCATCTCCCAAGTTTGAGTGAATTCTGACAGGTTATGCGATAATGGACTATCTCGTTTGTGTGTACATTTTATCTGATTTTTAGCATTTTTAAGGAGATGTGAATGTATATAAAAAGAAGAAATAACAGCTCTTTTAATGCCCAAACTCTTAAAGTATGAGCCATAGCACTAGCTGCTGTTTGCAGTGATATTTACGTTGAAATACAGACAACACTTTACTTTTTTTGAATTGCGCAGGGTATTTTTGGCAGGTAGAAATATAGAAATACTTTGGAAACATTGCCAAATTTTGTTAGCTTCCACAATGTCCCACCACCCCCACTGTGAACTTCTGCTGTTACCATTTTTAATATTGTTCAGAACGATACAACTGGCAGATATGAAAGAAATAAATTGGATTATGTAGCTGTGGTTTCTGTTGCCAAAATGTAAACAATTTTTAATATCCTAGTGTGACTTTTCTTATCTTTTGAAATAACGTATAGTTTTGGGTTGGAACATACTGAAGTAGAAGAAGAAATCCTGTTTAAAGGAGTCACTATAACTTGCAATGAATATCCCAAACCATCATTTTTTATATATTTTAGAACACTGGTTGGATTTTATTGTATTTTTTGCTAAAGTTCTATTTAAACTTATTTAAGTCAAGGAGACAGAGTGATTGGTGTTTTCTCAGCACCAGGGGACAGATAAGGTAGTGTTTGTACAGTGTAGTTCAGGTAATGAGAATTTACTTTCATAACAAGAAAGGCCAGGTTTGTATCTCAGTTTTCACGCAGCCTTGGAATAACTCTGTTCACCTAACTTGTAGTAAAGGTAAATGGTATTCTAGGCCTTTTCTTTCTTATAGTCAAACATAGCTTAAGAGTTTATTTGGATTACCTTCTGCTGATAACACCTGCTCTTAAAATTTCTGTTTATTTGCAATACAAGGCATTTTTTAATATTACTGGATATGCTTTAATTTTCATCTGCCAAGTTTTTACATTCTGTAACTCATACACCTCATTCAGTTACATTACACAAAGAAATTGTTTAAGTTACTATGCATTTAAACTAGTTTTTGTTGGGACAGACTATGCTCTAAAAGTATTGTCATTCAGAAATTCAAATTGAAGGATACTCTTTGTTTGTTTCTGAGGTGCTTCCAGATTGTTCGTTGCTGCATTCAAACGTGCTCCCTAAAAAAAGGTTTAAATCTTTACAGATAGAGCTGCAGTGGCATTTAGAAAAACCAAGCAGATTTTTGGATTTCCTTAAATTTCAACTGGAAATAATTCCATCCAGTTGGATAGGTGAAAGCCCATTTTGGATTTCTTCATTTAAGCATTTTTCAGACAATTTTTCCTGAAGGGTTTATTATTGTTCTGCTTCATTTTATTCAAAACTTCCTGAATCAGTATACTTATGGTAATATTCCATGCAGACATCATTTTCCAATGCAAATGTGAATATGTGCAAATATTTTAATTGTAGTAATTGTGTCTGTCTTTGTAGGGAGGCCTTGTCGGGCTTGTAGATTATCCTGATGATGATGAAGAGGATGATGAAGATGAAGATAAAGAGGAAACTTTACCTTTATCAAAGAAAGCAAAGCTTGAGTCGTCATAATGGCAACTGCGGAAGAACATTACTAGTTGGGGGAAGGATCTTTTATCCAAAAAAAAAAAACAAAACCACAGCAAAGCAGCAATCTTTTGTGAACTACTGTGTGTGACACAGATCAACCTATACAAATGGATTTCTGCCAATCAAGTGCCAATTCAAAGGAGCAGAAGGAGGGGAAATATTTCATTTAGGGGAAAGACTTACGCCTTTGAGCTCTCCAGCTTGGACCACATGTTGCCCTTTTCTCAGGGAAGGAAATGGAAAACAAAACAAAAACAAAAAAAGCCAACAGGGCAGGACTTTTGTTAGTGGAACTCCGGATTGGCTGGTCAGTTGCTACAATCAGAATATGCTTGGACCATGTATGAGACTTCTGAAGAAGAGGCATTTTTTTTGCCCTAATTCTTCACTAGTTAAGAATGCCAGCAGTTTCTTTGTATAAAAGAGACCTGCCTTTGAAATCATACATTCTGAACATTTTACTCAAGCTACAACAGGTTTTAAAAACCTCTATGGGGGAGGGCCGAATATAAAGTTTCCTCTTTTTTTTTTTTTTTTTAAATCTGTTCCCTTTGCCCTTTAAACTGCAGAATTTTTTTTGGAGGTGAGGGATTTGTTTGTCCCTTCTTGATTAAAGATTGAGTGGAATTCTAGATGTGGTCACTTTTGTGTCAGATTTTTTTTTTTTGCCCCCCTGAGTGTATGCTTAGTTGTTGAGTATATATTTGGGACCATTAAAATTTTTTGATGTAATATAATCTCACTGTTGTGCTGGTACCTGTTTCACCCTGTGTAATTTTGTTCTGCATCACAGTTCTTAAAATGTTTAGGATTTTATGGAAGATGGTATAGTTTTTATTGGGAGAAAAAAAAAATCTTACCACAATGTGCAGAAAAGCAATACTATTTTGTGACTAAATATTTTATATTAAATTTTACATCAGCAACTGTCAAGAAAAATTTCAGGGAAATAGGAATAAAAAAATTTAAACCTATAAATATGAAATTAGTATTCCAAAGAGACTTTGAAATTTCGTAACTCAGAACAACAGTGGTAAACTAACTCATCAAAATGCAAGATGGATGATTTAGGAATACCAATATATTGACTCATTTGACTTACAAAAATAAAAAATTATTAATGAAAGCTGAAAGAAAAATGTCACTAGTGGTATTTTTTTAAAACCTCTGATTCCCTTTGGAATACCAGTTTTAGTGAATCAAAGATGGTTGTAGAATAAAGTCTTTACAAGGATACCATCTTTTGAAATTTATCCCAGTAGTTGAAAAAGAGCAGTTAAACTTTGGGTCTCATTCAGTGATGACATTTTTCCCCTTTTTCCAAAAATCTAAATAGTTATTCATTTGAAACTAAATGTTATATCCTGCCTCTTTACTGCACTTACAGAAGATAGCTTGAAGGAGAGTTTATTCAGTTCCTTTGCAAACAGGAAAGCCTTTCTTAGATGTACTTCCAGGAGTTTATTCCTTTTGGACATTCAAAGCACCAATGTTGCAACAATTGTGATGTTACGCATTCATGTATCACATACAGATAGAAGTGAGAGAAATTAAAACCTGAGGCTGGATCATACATGATTGCACCCCAGTGTAGATTAGTACTTTGTTTCTGAAAATTGTGTTTTGCATGGCAGATTCTGTGCCAACTACATAAGTCAATACCTATGCACTGGGACATTATTAATACATGTTAGTAATTTCAGATCTAAATAAGAGTGTGCACTAGGGAAATATTAGCCATCTTTTCCTCAAGACATTCATTTGAAATCACTTTCCAAGGTTGAGTTTTTACAGTGTGTTTGAAATGTCTGTGACAGGGCAGTTCTCAGCAGTAAATTTTACAGAGAAGGCAAGAGATGAGCACTTGGTCACTACAATTTTCTGCTGCAGTGGGAGAACCCTATGCTGTCTCAACGATCTGCCTGAAACCTGATTTTTGCAACTTTGGCGTCAGATCAGGCATCACAACAAAGAAGTCTGAAATTTTGCAGGTTTTCTTAATTAGCCTGGATTTAAATCCTTCCCAAACTGTCAAACTTTTGCTGAGCACAAAGCTTTCAAAATTCATCCATCTAGTCATCTTTATGTTCTCCAGCTATATTTCAGGAAGGCATTCTTCTGGTGTGGTTGAAGGAACATTTTTTGTTAATGTGTTACTGTGTTCCTTCGGCTATTGAGTGTTTGATTTTGTAATGTGTGATGTTGCGGTCTTCTAATCTTTCACATACTTTCATGATACTTGTAGGAGTCTGTAATTTTGGATTTCCAGTACTTGAAGTATGGTGTTTAACAGAAGAAATGCTGTCCTTAAGTTCCTGGGTTGGGTCAAAATAATAATGGAAATAGGTCTGGTTTTGAACTTCCTATATTTTTATGATGCTCTAAAGGACTGGTAAAGTACTAAGCTGCACATCTTTTAATACTGTCTTGACTTGTAATCAGATCATTGTCTTCCCAAGTACCTAATGTGTGTGGCCAGACAGGACATATCTACACTTTGATGGGAGTTGGAAGTAGCCAGGAAGTAGGTGAGTTGGGGACAGTGGTGGGTATGCTATTCCCAGTGACTTTTGTTTTCATGGAAATCTCGAAATATATTTCAGGGGAAAAAAAAAGAAATAGTGGGATTGTGAGAAGTGATGGATAAAAAAAAAAAAAGGTATGAGTTAAGATGTAGAAAAAATGTTACAAACAGTGTTCTTTCTAGATCTTTCTCTGGGCTGCTGGGGTTTTCTATTCTTAGTTTTAAAACAGTTTGTCCACATCCCAAGAGAGCTGGGTGGATATTGTATTAAATATGGCTCAGTTGTCTTAATTGTGTTTTAACTGTATCTTCAAGTATGGTTTACAGGGTAAACCCTTAAGAATCATACAGGCAAGATACAATGTGCTGGAATCATCAGTGCAGGTCCCTATAATCCTTCAGTGGTTGAAAAACTTGATGCTGGTTACTCTGATATACACTGCCCAGCCCTTAGCCTTGCTTCACTGGGGATACCAGACAAAAGCATATGGAGTACCTGGTCCCTCACACTAATGACAGTAATTCTGGTTAATCTGGAGTATTTTCAGATTTTTTTCCAGTGCACACAGAGGGCAGTTGCATTCAGGTAACAATGCATATCACTAAAAAAACGATCTCCTGTGTCATGAGGGTGGGAGGATCTGAAAGCTGGTATATCTAGCAGAAGTTGCCTCTAAAATTTACCTGTCTGTACTATATTTACTTGGTAAACAAGATCAGACTATTCATCCATCTCTCACAGCCCTCCCAGGTGAGATGTCATGTTCTCGTGGAATTGTCAAGTAGACCCAATCCTTTAACAAAACAGGGAAGAACCTGTTCAGATGGGTTTTGGCTGTGTTTTAACATCTCTGCAAATTTCAGAAATGGGTAAGAATCTGTTGTCATATTGCTACTGTGGCTCCATGAAGGAATTGGCTACCTTTCAACCCAGCACAAGTTACTCTGGTTGCCTTGCTCAGTTATGTTTTCTGGCACCTGTAGAGTCACTACAGAAGGTTAGCATTACCTTCACTGGCTGTTCTACAGCTGCAGAGGTGTCCTGGAGCAGTGCTGTCTGTGCTGGAGTAAGTAGTATTGCAGTTGCCCTGCCTTGAGGAAATCAAAACCCATTCCAGATAAGCTGTCAAAGTAGAAGACCTGATGAGTGACTGCATGTGCTCACCCAACTCACCTCTACAGTGACTTTACAGTCACCACATCTGTGAAACACTGGTGATGTTACAATGCAAAAACAATTCTCTCCATCTGTAACTGAAAAATAATCTTCCTTCGAAGAGAGTGAGCCAAGCCCATGTGACTTAAAGTAAGTTTCTGTTCACATCAACTGTCTCTCATCTTCCACATAATTCAACTAGAATCAAAGCCACCTTCTGTGTTTCAGCATGTTAAGTCAGTGCACACAATACATAAACCACCAATGACCAATTTTTACCATATTCTTGTAAAACAGCTATCTAAACCCTTTGGGGCTACCAATGGACAACCTTACCTTTGTGCCTTCTGTCACAACCCCTCAAAACTGGAGTCTTTCATTTCATTAGTTCCTCAAATTCTTAAAGTTCTTCCCAAATCTGTCTTGATTGTCATACAGGAGTGAATTCTATTGATTCTTCAGTACACCTCATGAATCTCAGTTAATGTTGATTGTGTAGTTCTCCTGCCAAAGAGAAACAGAGGAATGTGCAGGGCAATGTTCTGTGCCTTGGTGAGAAAGCAAGCTTTTGGATAACATCCCCAAACCTTTACACAATTATTGTGGTCCTTCAGTAATCATCTCCTCAACAGACCAGGCCCTATCATGCATTTGAAACCTACAGGACACCTTCCCCTTTCTGCTGCTGCTTCATATGACATCTTTCACGATTTGCTGGACATGTAGTTCCCACACTCTGTACTCACTGCTTTAGCCTTTGTTTCTAGCACCTCTTTAGCTTAGGAGTTTAACTTAAATGGATTTGTTCTCTTTCAGGCCTATGAGGATTCTTCCACTGCTACAGCATTCATTGCTTCTCCAAAGCTTTAAGTCAAGGAGGTTATGCCATCGTTGCTGTGTTTGCCTGGGATGTGGGTACTCCTCTCTTGCTTTCAAGTTCATGCAGAGCCATAAACCACTGCTGCCCCTTCCTGTTCTCCCCTTTTGCATAGTATTATTTAGTGTTTGCCACATGTATTTGACTCTATATTTATTTTCTATGGACTCAGATGTTTATGAAACATTCTGCCTAAACTCCCTCCTTCTGTTTTAGATTCTGTATTATGTTAATCTTACAGGAGCCTATGCAGCTGGCTTAAATTTCAGTGAACATCCTGCCCTCCCACACAGGTTAATGTTAGGTTTGTGGGAGTTTCTCTCAACATTCTGTTTCAGATGCCAGCCACAGAGACTGTAAATCACCAGCATCCCCACCCACGTTCAGATTCATCTAAGGAATGTAAGCGAATACTTCTGGGTTTTTGTTTGTGTTTTGGTTGCACATATAGTTCTGTTTCTTTTTATTTTCATTCAAATTTATCTAACACAGTTTCTTTGCCACCTTTGTCCAAACAAAATGAACAGTATTGAAGACAGCATTTCAGAATCGGATATTGTGAGGAGCAAAGTGATCTTGCCACCTTTTTTTTTTTCCTGGCACCCATTGTTTACAGCTCCAGAGTCTATTTAAAGTAAACTTGCTTCATAGATGAGAAGTTGATTGATGAACAGTAGAATCATATTTACAAGAAAGCTGCCTAAGGACAGTCTCAAGCAAAGGAGGAGAAAAAGGCCTTTCCTGATTACCATGGGTTTAAACTCCTGTATTGTAACCTTGAGAATTCTGTTATTCCCATCCCTCAGCAACTTACACTTCAGACAGCAGATGAATGGTGGAGCTTTGTTGATAGTTGTAATCGTTGCTAGGGGACAGTCTGAGGGAGGTGAATCATGCCATTTACAGTCAGCCTAAAGGGACATTTGGAAACGCTTGAGCTTAGAAATTTCCTTCTGTGGTCTGTGTTGCTGAGAGTCGAGTGCTTCATGGCTGTGAAGAGAGCTTTAGAAATACGATGATAATGGAGGCATGAAACATCCTTGTGTCTTTAGATGCTTATACCTTTGTATGTGTTTAAAGTGGTTGTTCTGGTGCTTCTTTAAGAACTGTGCTTTTAGTTAAAAGCTGACTGAGTGCAAATAGTATAAAAAGAAAGTTGTGGATCACATTAAAATTAAAT